TGAAGGTGCCTTAAATTAGTCTTCTGAGTGTATATGTGGGTTAAAAATAGATTGCTTTGTAAAATCACTGCATATACCTCTCATTTGTGGTAAGTCAGGATCTCATTGATTGTGACCAGACATCCAGAAGACCTAATTTAAGCAACTACATAAGTGAGGTTATGTTAAAAGTCAGCACAAGTGCTGTAAGCTGCCTCCTTGGCATTATCTCAGGAGAGATTCAGTAAAAGTGTACTGCCATCACAGAGCTGTGGTTACAGAGAAAGAGGTTGAACTGACCTTAACACAGTTTCATTATCAACCAAATAATCAACTCCTTCAACAGCTTAGCACGGCTAACTTAGCTTAGCATGCTGTTGTTTTTCTCTAAGTAAAAGTGATAAGCCTGTTGGTTGGTTGTTTTTTTTTTAATTGTTTGTTAAATTATTTGTTTAATTTTAGTTATGGGACCTAGAGTTTTGTCTGCTTGTTTGTTTCAAATCAAATAATTGATTGTAGGGCTACAGGAACTTCAAAGCAAATGCTATAAACTCAGTGTGCCTCTCCTACTCATACTACACAGTTTTTGAACGCCTATGTTTTTCACTAAGATCACTTACCACTAAAGAGAAAATCAGTGCTGCTTTGTACTAGTGGAATATACTACTTTCACTAGTCCTCATCTTCTGGAACTCATTTTCCTGTTTTCTTCAGAAAATAACTCTCAGAATGCATGTTGCTGAAAAACTTTTAAGAATGTTAAAAAAAAATCTTAGCAGTGAAGAAGTAATGTTTAAGTGAAATTAATAAGACCCCAGTTGAAAAGTGAGATGCTTAAAAATATATGACTGTCTTCCAAAGAGAAGGCATTAGAGATAGAAAAATAGTGATAAGTTGATAATTTATTACACCTACATTTTGCTACTAATACTCTATGAAATGTATAGTGAAGTGAAAATTGCTGAGAAGAAAATGAACACTGGCAATTAATATTCACAGTATTTTCCCCATAATTTGTCAGAGTAATAAAAGCCAACTGCTAATAAAAAAAAGTTAGAAAATCTTCAAAAAAGTATAATCAGTGCGACACAACTGTACTTTCTGGGATAGCTTTGTCAAAGCTAAATAGCATCTGGAAGGGAAAAAATTCTGAAGAAAATTGCTTGAAATATATCCTAGTGCACTGAATTCCCAGTGCAGTCTAATGGAATAGAAATTCAGTTTGTAGTACTGCAGCCAACACTAGTTCAAGGCTTGTGAACCTAGAATAATAGAAGAAAACATAGAAGTTACTCAATTCTGATTTTTCTTATCAATATGCTGCTGTAATACAAATTCATTCTTTATCTCTACTTCCACATTTTACACTTTGACAAACCTAAAATAAAACACTTGTTTCCAGAGAATTCATCTTCTTGAATATAATTCTTTTGTATGGTACTAATCATCACTCTTGTTACTTCCAATGATTCAGACACAATTCACCACTGAGGCAGAAATGTAACAATATAGGAATGTCATGTATACAGAATTATGTTTGAGATTTGTCTCATACTGGAACTAGTGGAGTTAAATGAATGTGTTTTTTTGATATAACTAAGCTTTCAAATAATTATTACAAAAACTTGAAAAATAATTGTAAGTATCCTGCATTACCAGAGATACCACTGTGACACATTAACAATAGATAGTCATTTATCTTTAATTACAGATTTGATTTTTCATGGCAGACTAGGTAGAAACTTGCCTTGCTCTTTGGCTGTTGTATATTAATATCCCTGGGTATGAATTTGAGTCTTTCAGTCTAAAATCAAATCCCTTAGTAAGAGTGCTTGACACAGGCAGAGCCAGGGATGAAAAATCTGTATTAGGCATATGACTAGAATTTTTTTTATCCATAAGAAAATATAATCTGCCTGACATTTATTAAAAGATGTGCAAGTAAAGCTACTTGCTTGGATCCTGGCAGTTTTTCCTAGTATCTGAGATTCAATTTAGTAAACAAGTGTCTTTACTCCTTGTAGATATAAGACAAGCCAACAATTTCAGCACGCTTACATGGAAAACGGACTCTGGTTTCAATATAGAAGATGGCAGTAGCCAACATCAGTTCCAGATCTCACAAAAGCCAGGGGAGATGTTCTACATGACATCATGAGGTAAGTCCAGATATGCCTGGCTCTTGTCACTCTGGTTCATTTCATACATTTAATGAACAGTAACTACTTATCTCATAATTCTGAGCAGCACTTCCCCATTCCTCCATGGCAGCTGAGCCTCATTTTTCCTTTAAGGTTCTTTTGTCCTTCTCAGTTAAATCAGACCAAACTGATATTTATTCTGTGTTAGAAGTCACAGTTCTTCAGAGTGGATCAGTAAACCCTTCACCTCTACCTGCTTCTGTGCTTTCCTCTCAAGTATCATTCTGCATGAATTCTCATTGCCACGTACCTAGATCTCAAGAAATCACAGGGCAGTTGCACAGTTGCAGTCTTCTACTGTGCCAGTGGGCAGTACTCAGGAAATCTATTACTGTCAGCTAGTTTCATTTGGCTACAGAAACTACATTCATAAAAAGAGAACAGCATAACAAAACAGTTGGAGTATATCTGCATCCTATCAAGGTCACTTTCAGCCCAGAAATCCAGTGAAACACATTTGTTCAACACAGAAGTACAAGTAATTCCTTACTGTATGATGCCAGGCACATGTAAACTGTTATCCTTGCAGCACTAGTCATTGATCCTGCTTGCTGTTCTGTGCTTGTATGTCATACAAGCCTCTGCAACTGTGAAAATTTTATTTCTCTTTTTCTTCTTTCAAAGTTTTGACATTTATACCCCAAAACCGTCACTTCTGCATACTCAGCAAAGCTGTTTAATCCTGGTTTCCATGCACAGTAACAATATATACACTACAGCATGCCACCATGTATGGTATGTGATCATCTTACATAACATGACTTCTTTTTTAAACAAAAGTGCATCTGAAGTACACAATAAGAAGTGTTGCTTCTTGAGGAAGTCAGAATCTCACTGTCTCACTGGCTACACACTGTGAACAAAGAGGAGTGGTATTCCATGCTTATTCCATCACGAGAGGTAAAAAAGTGCTTTTCAGACTGCTTTTCAGAAAGAAAGGAATTCTATAGAAAATTCAGATTTTAAATACATTCTATTCATAATAAAAACAGGTGTACCTCTATCATAAAAGCTCACTAATTCAAATAGATTTGTTTCTTCTTCACTGTTTTCTGAAACAGAACAAGGTGTAAGTTGGTGTAAGAACTGAACTTATGAGGACATGTACTGAACCACTGGTACATCAGAGGGAACAAAAATAACTGTTATTTAAAAGAATGAGCCACTTGTGCTTAACCAAAACCATACAAGTAATCTTCTCTTCAGATTTACCCTAGCTACAGTTCCCTAGTGGAATTTCAATTTATATCTCTTACATAATCAGAGTGCATTTTCAGGGGAGAATTTGACCCTGAGGGAGGCAGGAGGGCTGGAGAGACTTGCTAATAGTCATGTGGTAAAAATAGTCTTTTCATAAGCCCCGCATGAAACATGGAGAATGCCTTGAAATATGCCCTAGCTATCAGAAATAGCCGAACCAGAGATGAAAAGCATCCTACTGCTCAAATATAAAGGGGAAAAATCTCTAAAATATTCTATAATAGTCCTCATGAGTCACACTCAAAGTGCTAATGAGTTCATACCAAACCACCATTAAAATGGCATATCTTCCTCATCAGTACAGATGCACACCAGTTCCTTGGGCATTCAGGTTTTCATATACCCCTTCTCTCTTTAAACATAGAATCTTCTAACATCAAGCTCATTTCAAGATCCATACTTCTCAGTCCTCACAGTCCAGATGTTTGCTCTCCAAAAGTAAAGTGAACAAGTCTCACAATCCCTGTGAAGCCTTGCTTTCTGTAGGAGTTGGTAGAAGAGCAATTTATTTCCTTTGTTCTTGTGTCTCTATGGCATATCTAGCTTTTCTAACCTTTCAAAAAGTAGCCTGACTCTTTAACTCCCTTTTGTCATGAGGAGAAGATACTGCTTGTCCTTGGGGAGTGATTTTATGAATTAATCACAGAATCACAGAATTGTAGCTGGAAGGGACCTCCAGAAATCATCTAGTCCAACCCCCCTGCAAAGCAGGCTCTCTACATCAGGTTGCACAGGTAGGTATCCAGGTGGGTCTTGAATATCTCCAGAGAAGGAGAGTCCACAGTCTCCCTGAGCAGCCTGTTCCAGTGCTCAGTCACCCTTACTGTGAAGAAGTTCTTATGCACATTTGTACAGAACTTTCTATGCTTCAATTTGTGTCTGTTTCCACTTATCCTATTGCCACGCGCCGTGTCTGGCCTTGTCCCTTTGCTTCCCATACCTTAGATATTTATAAACATTGATCAGATTTCCCAAGTTTTCTTTTCTCAAGGCGTTACGGACCCACATTGATCAGATTTCCCAAGTCTTCTTTTCTCAAGGCGTTACAGACCCACATTGCTCAGCCTTTCCTCATAAGAGAGGTGCTCCAGGCCCTTTACTGTCTTTCCGGCCTTCTGCTGGATTCTTTCCAGGAGATCCTGTCATTTTTGTACTGTCATTTTTTAGCCCAGAACTGGACACAGTACTCCAAGAAAGGCCTCACCAGGGCAGAGTAGAGGGGAAGGATCACCTCCTTGACCTGCTAGCCATGCTCTAATGTGACAATTGGTTGTGGTCAGATAATGTAATAGAGCTAGTTAAAAAATGAAAATGCTTTTATAAATTCAGTAAAAACTTCTAAATCCACTGCCAGTCTGAAGCAGATATTATAGGGGAGCAGTATGCTTGGGAAGCAAAATAAATAAGTAATAGTATTGTTTATTTAAAATACTATAAAAAACCCAGAAAGTCTCAATGTATGAAGTTAATTCTACATAGAATTTTGTATGATGATTACCTAGTTAAAATGTAATCAATAACTTTTTTTTTTTTTTTTTTTTTTTTTTTTTGTAGAGAATAAGTGTTTGCTATAAGCCATTCTTTCTTTTAGAAAAAGTTCAGGAAAATATACCAAAGACTTGAGGATGAAAGAAATGGAGATGATGAAAAGTAGAGAGGTATTGATAAAACATTTATGTTTTCTTCCTCTCTGAGCAGAATTTTACTCTACTGCATTTTTTCCTCAGAATATATATATATTTTTTTCTGTAGCATTACAGCTAAGATCTCCTTGACAATGAGCCACAGAGGAAGAATCCTCCACAAGGAAGGAAGGTGCAGAAGCTACATGTGACAGGAAGCCAGTCATAGTAGTGCCATTCCAGACTGGATTGCGGGCCATAGTGCTGAAACTGAGCAAGCAGGAAAGGACTGGAGATTCTAAACAGTGTAAGCCAAGAGTGCAACTTTCCAGGCAAGTCCAAGGTGATGAGAGAATTCTGAAGTAAAGTCCATGGTTCAGGGTCAGGATTCAAATTGAGAGGGTACCTCGTCAGGTATGAGCAAATACTACAAATACTGCTTTGTAAGAAAGCAGGCATGAAAGCCCAGCCTCAAAGCAGCTTAACAGAGAAAGGTGGAGAGCTTCTGTTAGGGCTTGTTAAACAGCTCTTCCTCACATCACTTCAAAGGAGGATAGCTGCTAAGTCCAGGCAGCATAGCTTTCAGGAGGGAGAGATAAACTCAGGTCCTGATAACCTCTATCAAGATTCTTAGTGTCTCCTTTATTACTCATCAAACACACAAAGAGGAGATGAGGTTATTCCAAAAAAGAAGTGGCATACCATAGGGAGACTCAGTGGACATCAGGCTTTTGGCTACTTTTGGTGCCTTTGATAATCTCCTACAAGATGTCTGCTTTAAGAAGCTTAGTAATCAAGGTATTATACAAAGGGGAATGAGGGAAGTATAAGTGAGAAAACACAGCTCAAGTCCTATCTGAGTCCTAACAGAGTAGAGCAAAGAATATATAACTGCAGAATCATTCTGACACTCTGTGCAGCTACTTAGCTTGTCTCTTCTGGAAAGCAGTAATGACAGTGCATGCTCTCTGAAGGAGAGAGATACCAAACGACAGTAGAAAAAGCTAAACAGCCACTTGCCTAAGGCAATAAAAGTAAGACCATAGAAAATGCAAATTATCTTTATAATAATGACTTGATATCCCTAAGCTTTTCATTGGAGTTTCTCCTCAGGTTCCTAAGTCTGGACCTAGCATATCATTGGAAAAAGCAAAGATGTGTGCTGGGCATTTCAAAGTGCGGCTGAGTACTACATCAGGTGATAGCTGCCTGCAAAAGCATATCTTATGTTATCCCAACAGGTAAGGCACACTGGATATTTAGCTTTCAAATTCAGTTCAATTTTCTTTTCTGTTTCTTCTGCCAGCTCTTGAGTCACTGTGCCTTGTGTCAAAGCTACAGTGCAAATATCAGATTGATCTCTGGGTGCTAAACGTGGCAGGAATAGAGTTGCTGGCTCTCCTGTGTTTTCTGTCAAGGAAAACACATCTGCCTTTAGCAAAGAAAGTAATGTACTAAAAGAAGCAGAGGATCTTGAATGGCACGGAAATCTTTTCAGGTTCAGCAGAGGTTGAAAAACCTCAGCATCTCCCAAAAGACAACTACTTAGCAGCAAAACAGTATGTAAAATGGAATTATGCCAAACTGGACATCTACCAAGTTTATTCCACTTGATGCACAGATTTAAAAAATTCATTGAGATGATGCTTCCCTTAGCAGACAGACTGGAATATTAAGCAAATAATGTTTCCTATATTTTTCTAGGAGTTGTGATATTTATTTTAATTACAGTATGAGAGTGTCTTATAGTCCTGGTGTACAAATCGGACTGTGTTAACTGTTCTCCATGTTCTAAGCTGAAATTACGGCAACATAGAAAGGGGTTGAACATTACAAATGCTTTCTTACAAGGAAGACTAGTGAATCATTGGACTAAGCTACCATTGAAGGGATAAAGATCATACTGAAGATTATTAAAAAGAAGTCAAGCAAAAATATGTCTAGTTTGATATATGCAAAAATAATCATGACTTCAGGGAATAATTTGGGCTTCCCATTTCATTTTTGGTCTGATCCAAAGATATTATCCAGAAGACCAAATTATTCTTCACTGGCATAGGACAAAAAGATCCCGATGTCATTGACATCTCAGTATCAGTTAGGAATTCCTGGTCTCATGACTTCCTAGAAATACTGAGGCTACTGTGGCATATAAGGGTGTCTTTTTGAAATGTCAATAAATTTGCAACACTAAAGTGGATAAAAATATGGTCAGAAAATCATTCAAGAATTCTGTAAACAGAAATGAGTCATGCAGTGAGAAAGGAGGAAGAGAGAAAAACCTAATTGAGGCAAAATGTAAATTTCATTCAAATGTCACTGCAACCTGTGGAGTGATCAGTGTACCTAAGGAACAAGGTATCTGTAAAGAACAGAAATGTCCCTCTGCTGCTATCACTCTCTGACACCAAGATCCTTCCCAGCAGATCTTAACAATAGCTAAGTTACCTCGTTCTCTAGGACTACAAACATTTATGACATTTCTGCCTGTGTGGGAGTACTGAATGTGAGAGGCATTTGAGAACATCAGAGATGTTCTACTCAGTTTCTTTCCAAACAGAATTATTCTGTGCTGAACTTGGACCTAGTCTTCTAAGCTTCTCAGGAAGTCATCCTATCGAACTGAAGTAGGATAAGATTCTCACATTCTCAGGCTTTTGGAATGCCTTTTGAACAACTCTGGCATTGACATTCTGCATTACAGTAGCAGAAACCCATGATTAATTCAAGCAAATCTCTTGCAAAAATCTCTTTTAAGTTATGTACTTAGGCTAAGAAATTCTGAAGGTTAACCTGGATCACTTAGAAAGGAAGTTCCTGTTTGATTCTATGAGAACTGCAGTCTTTTTTTTCTTATCCAGTTCTGAAGTTTTCAATCAACAGAATTTCCAGCTAGAGAATCATTATTGCTTGCCAGATTTCTCATTGTGAGTATTCTGGTTGTGAAATTCCAGATGTCATCCTTCCTTCTACCTTCTTATTGGGAAAAGGATAGATTCTTGTACACAATGAAAATCCTAAAAGTTTGCATACCTTCCATGGCAGCTTGTGTATTAATCAATTTTCTGAACAGACAGTAGTGTATATTCTTAAAGAGAAGTATGTCACGTTTGCAATATATCCCAGACAACAGTGTTCGCACAATTGACAGGGAATGTACTTGATACTTCATCCTTTGAGTTCTGATTTTTTTTCTAACATTTTTTAGATGAATTAAATAGTGCTGCAGTAGTAAAGTAGTGCTGCAGATTAAACACTGCTGCAGCTGCAGAACAAACCTTTCTGTGATTCTCTACACACTGTAATGGGCCTAAGGAATGTATTTATAAAATGTAAATTTGTTAAGCAACTTGAGAGTCCAGAGAAGACTACCTGTCACCTTACTGATGAATGTGATTTGCATTTTTGAGATTTGTGTGAATTTGTAAAGTGTATAACATTCTAGATTGTAGAAGCATTTTTCTAGTTATAATTTTCAATGCCCCTAATTACCTTATCACAAAACTCTGTCATGCTTTCACACTGCCTTCCAGCTCTATTCCTTTGTGTAAACTGTGTAACTGTTTGTTCATTCTGCAGCAATTGAGTTAAACTGTCATCAAAGATTAATCATCTAGCATTAAGCTTTCAGATCTTTTGGAACAAATATGTTATTACCTCTTTATTTTCTGATTAGCATACTTTTAGCCCAAGGCCTTTTTCTTTGTAGTTTTCTCCAACTTCCAGCATTTCGGGGAGTGAGGGAAATCTAAAGATACACATGGTGATGTGATGATGTGCTTTATGCAAGGCACTGGAGCTTGCTTTCTGCACTCCAGCATTTAACCACAATGTAATTTGGTCTCAGTTCAACGTTCTCAATACTCAGTATTTCTGAAGCTACCAACCTACTACAAAACTTATGCCAATTTTCAGTCTTTTAATCAAATTACCAAGAACTCTAGAGAAAATGAGATGTTGGTTCTTGATCTGATGATTGGAGCCTTACTGTACCATATCATGAACACAGTTCTTACTTCAATGCAAGTCATTTTTGCAGCCAGAATAGATGAGAAAAGGGAGGGTGAGAGGAAAAAATACTGACCCAGTTAGAACATTTGCAGCTGAACAAGGAAAAGAAAAGATCAGTTGTATCTAGATCATGATTCTGATCTACTCGCCCAGTTAATCTCATAATTAGCAGAAATTCTGCTGGGAGAACTGAACACACGTACTTTGTGTCAACATGGAACTCCAGCACTGGAACAATACTCTCTGTATATGGGCTGCATTAAGTGGAATGGCAAAGCACTTTCTGCAGGCTGAATGTGCAAGCAGTGGATGTGTAGTAACTTGCTTTGTTCAAGTCCATATGTTGAAACCCAGCAATTGCTTGAGTCTCTGTCCATTGCATCACTCTCCTGAAGGGAAGGGGTAGGGAGCCACCATTACTGCCTCACCAGACTCCCAGGTAAGAAGATAAACAGGTTTTGTGCTGCACTGCTCGCGGGCAGGTGACACTGCAGGTGCTCCATTTGTGGAACCTTTGGCATGAAGAGGAAGCTATAGTGAAACCTACCTGCGCACAAGGGGGAATAGTCCTCTCGTTGTTCTGCCTTTACACCACTAGAGGGAGATCTCAGAATGCTCTGGTCACGGTTGTTTATCTTTCAGCAAAAATGACTGTAGAAGCTTTTGTGCAAGGAGGTGCTGGTCCGTTATGTCCCACTGGAAAAAAAAAAAAAAAAAAAAAATTAGAATGGTTGGTATTTGAGCTAAGATTATAAAAAAAGAATATCACGGATAATCTTATGTCTCTTCAGATGCTGGGAACCCCAAGCCCTGAAGCACCAGACATCCAATCTGCACGCAGTACATCATGCAGAACTTGTACGTTGCGGAGATTGTCTCCTTTCAGTCATTCACACTATTGCATGTTTTTATTGCAAGGAAACAACCCCATCTATAAATTACAGTGTTGGAAAATAAGCTACTTGCCTAATGGCCCCTCTGGGTGCACAGCACAGAACTCATGACTCCTCGGTGTGCAATGGTCTTTTGGTCAGGATCTCTGCACTTTCTGCTTGGAATTATTTTGTCGTTTTTAGGGTCATGATATCCCTGTGTGTGAATGCATGCATACAATATAAAAGATTATATAAACCACTTCCGTTTAGGAAGCATAAATGCTAATGGAACTTTTTCACACATCTTATCAATTCACTTTTATGTAATAAGTGCCCAGTTTTTCACATTTTCCTGTTCAGCTGTCCCTCTTGATTCATTCCTGAATAAATCTTTTGTAGTCCATCCAAATGCTTATAAAGTTTTTTTTGTTTGTTTGTTTGTTTGTTGTCATTTTCTCTCTTTTCCTGTATACACATATAATGCTCTGATAAAATCTGGATAATAATACACACTGCATAGTAGCATGTAATATGTTAAAAAAAAAAAAAAAAAAAAAAAAAAATCTTCGAATTGTGGTTTTCCAAAGAAAAAAATGCATCTGTGACAAAAGATATCATTGGCATTCCATCATTTTTAAGTTATGTATGAGGCTTAGTAGTGATGTTTTGAGAGTGTTTTATGTTGCAAATAATTGTCATTCTATAAAATTGGATCAAATTAGATACAAAATAGTTTAAGTATCTTTATTTTAACATCCGATTGTTTCCAAGACATGAACTACTTAGAAAGCTTGAATTCCAGAATAAATAGGTATCTTCAAAGATCAGCTGTGGAAGTTTCATAATAGGATTTTTATTTTTTTCAGTATATTGCTGGAAATTACTTTTCTAAAATATTTCAAAGTATATATTTAAGAAGTTTTATTCAGCAATACTTTAACCGCTGTTCTTTTCTACAAATGCAGTATATGTATGTTTAAGTTAAAGCAGTATTCTCCTTCATTTTTACAGTATTAGAAATTGTAAGTTAAAGAATGAGATGGAAACCATGTTTCTTAAATGACCATCTGAGCATAAACAACAGAAATAAATATGTAAAAATAAAGTTTTAGATAAACTTCATTTAAAGCAGTAGAAATTAGATTTATTTCAGTTGCTTCTCCTTTGAAGAGAGGGATCCAAGGAGCTCTATTATTGCGCGCAGTGAGCCAATCAAGTGGCAGTGGGTGAATTAATCTATATTTTAGTCAGAGTGTGTCTGAAATATAACTCATAGTATAATGCAGTACTGAGAAATTAATACAAATTATATGCAGGTAATTTGCAAAGTGAAGTAGAAGCAAATGGAAAGATTATGAAGCTTCAGGTGACTACCTCACTTTATTGAAATCTCTTTCTGACTTCCTTTGTATACAGAGTTGTATAAAAATATGACCAATGTATTGCTCAGATAGGTTGTTAAGTCAGATATTCACCACTGATTTCCATCCATCTTCAATTCAGATTCCCGGACCAGCTTGTTGTACGTGGCCACCTCCCAGGACTTCTGAACTTTGTGACAGACAAGTAGCTATAAAAGTAAGGTATTATTCTTGCAGGACTTGAATCATGATACTAATGTCATGTGAATATTTGACAGCCCTATTAAATAAAATAGGATCAGTCTGTTAATCTGCTGGCTGCTGTAGGATCTAACAATCTGTAATCCTTAGCTTTCCTGCCAGCAAATTCCTCATTAAGCACAAAATATCCTGAAACAAATCACTAAGAAAACCTCTTTTAGTGTTAATATATGTAGAGCTCTTCTAAGCAGATAATTCTAGCCAAAAACGGCATTCGTATTTCTCCTCTGTTTCTACAATCTAGCCAAGTTGAAATAGTCTATAAATGTTCCCATATATTTAAACCTATAATTTGGGTGAAATGCTCACAGCAAAGTACAGAAAGTTACGTATTTTTTAATTGACCTATAACCACTTTCAAGATGAACAAGGCACATATTGCATCAAGGTAACTTTTAATTCAATAGATTGTGAAGTCAAGCATGTTGACTAAGATTCTTGAAGTCATTTTGGGTTGAGAGCCAGAATTCAAGACAGGTTACTCACAAGAGCCAAATCACTACTGACATCCAGTGTTAACAATGACTTAAGAAAATAGAAAGAGTCCTAGAAACATCTTTTCAGTATGGCTGGGTGTAGCATGTCGTAGACTGAAGTTGTCCTGCACTTCCAGGGTTGAGTAATTGGAGTTATGGGATCTAAAATAATTCAGATTGGAAGGAACACAGGAAGATAACATAGTTCAACCTCTAGCTGGCCTGTCTTGTCATGAAGTTTGTACACCTCTCCTCACGCAGGCCCAACTTGTCTGTGTGATTATTTCCACATTATTAATGTGGATCATCTGCCTGACACCATCTAAGGGTCAGATGCTATCCAAACTCAACTGGTCACTGCAATAAAATCCTCCCATTGCTCTTCCAGCTTTAATCTGACAGGAGCAGGAATGGCACCAATCTGAAGGTAGGGCTTCCCCTAAGACAAGTACTCTTTTTTCAGAGAGGTCTGGCAGAGATGTGGCAGGGGTTTCCAACCTGCATCAAGAAGAAGTGGAGTAGGGTAGAAGAGTGCAGGGGGAGGCAGAACATTTGCAGCAGCTGAAGTTGTCAGGATCAGCTTGCCTAGCAACCCCCCTTCTTAGACAGGGGCATCTAATTCAGCAGCAACAGCAGTATCAGAAGCAGCCTCATCACTTGATGAGCTGGATGCACACTAGTGAGCATGAGAGCTAGCAAAGCACTTGCCTTCAGGCTCCAAAGCCTCCTCAGTTTATTGGTAGGTAAGCTATGTAGATCCTTTTACCATCACATATTTGTGTGGTCTGTGCGTAACGAAGGAATTGTAAATGGCTTATTGCAGGGAGATGGCTATTAATTTCAGGTAATTGTTGAATGCTGTTTTAGTAGTATAAAAAACAAGAATAATGGCAGACTGCATTGTAAAAATCAATTATATAAATCTTACTTCTGGAATAATGGGATAAGTCATTGCATAAACCAGTAGATGATTATTCTCCAATAATATGTACAGAAAAAAATAGATTGTATGAATAGAACTTAATATCCTTTACTAACTATGGATTAAGACCAAAATGTATTATCATAATATATTCTTTTCATCTACGACCTGCATTATATATTACTTGTTTAGTATAAATACATTTGTATATATATAGGTATATTACTTATTTTGCAACAATTCAAATTCACTCTGTATGCTATTATAATGCTGTATTCTGCATGCAATAGGCATATGTAATCTTGTCTATAATTGCCTATTGTAACATTTGTAAAATTATATTTTGTTATTAAAGCTTTAATTAAAAATAATCATTGATATAATTTAGGTGTAAAAGATTAAAAGAAAGATAGTTTGAAGCAGGAGTACGTCATTTTAAACACAAAGAAAAAAAGTCTTTAAATAATATGTCTCTCTGCATATGGTCCTAGAACTGCCCATTTTTTGCAGAGGAAAACTTCTGGAAGAGAAGTTTTAGTTAAGTCACCTAATTGTCTTAAACTAATTACTGGATAGATCAAAATAATATACTGATCCCTAGGAAACTATCATTTTTGTCTCCAGAACTTGAAGAGACAAAATAAAATATGCCAGGTACTGTTTGTATTGTTGCTTCAGATAGAAAGACCAACTGCGGATGGAAAGCATCCTTCCCCTGTTTCTATACAGTGTTTTATGAGGTCTGTTTCTGGCAGGTGATATTAGTGGAGGGATGGCATGATTTAGACAACAAAGACTATGACTGTTGGCCCCTGGAAAAACCAGATGAATATAACATGATGGACTGTGGAGGTGAGTTCTAAAGCTGCTGAAGAAATATCATTTCTTGCTCAGGGAATGGCTGAAGACCTAAAATTGAAGTGCTCAGACTGATACCTAACTCATAACAAATGCTGCACATGGTGGCAGGCGTCAGAGTCGGCGATGACATTCTTTCTTGAGAAAAAGGTGAAAGAAAACAGTCAAAAGATACTTCTGAGCAAATATTTGCTCATTATTTATTGATTCTGGAAGAAAAAGTAGTTGCAACAGCTGAACCCCTTCCTCTAAAATAATAATTGAAAGCATTTTATTTCTCATTAGAAAACTGAATGCAACATAATCCAAGCAAATCAAGTAGTCAGCTCAGTACTGTTGCAAATTCTATTCCTGGAATTCTGTGGCATCATTTAAAAAGTGAATTATTTAAACCCTCTAGCCAAGAAGTAAAAGTACCATTTCTACATTTCATGCTTTTGTCTCCTTCCTCAAAATTATATTCCACTTAAACTCTGAGATCTTTAACCACTTATTCCAGTTTGAAAACTGAGTTTACACGATGATATAATTAAAAAAAAAAAAGTTTCTTTTTGTTTAATCTCCTGAATTGATTGAAATGGGAAAACAATTAAAGTGAAACATTTTGTTTATGTCAGAAAAGATTGGAATGGAGACAATTCTTTCTTGATAGGGTTGTTAGAAAAAAACAAGTGCACCTCAAACTGTAATGCTGCTAAAAATACTCCAGGAAATAAACTGCTGGGTGATGCTCTGAACTCCGTGCTGTAGTTAAACATTTTGTGAAGAGTTTGGATTGAACAAAGACATTGAAAGACTGTCTAGGTAATTGTCAAGTAAGTTGACAAGCTATAAGAATTTACTATTGCTTTAACATTGAAACTACTATTTACCAGGAAAAAAAAGACTAGTTTGAAGCATATTCTTACTAATAAATCAGTGTGAACATAGGACAAAGGAAACTAAAATGAGTAGGCAGCTTCATTTACATAAACCCTTCACAAACGGTTTTAGAACAAACTCCAATCTTTATCCTGCTTTCTCTATGATTCTTTGAATCTTCTCTCTTCTTCTTTGGTGCATTGCTAAATGCAAAGCAATAGGCATCTACTGTATTTCTGTGAATTGAACTTGTAATGCAAGATCTTCAAATCATTTATAAGTTGAAGTATCTATCATTGAAATAAGTTTTTCTAAAATTTATGCTGACCTTCTACCTTCATTCTCTCACTTCTCCTTGAAGCTTAGCTTTCATTCCTTTTAATGCAAATCACATTAGCATTTTATGTAAATCTTTGTTTTGTAGTTTCTCTCATAAGGCTGGCTCCTAAATGAGTGTTTACTTTTTAAGGGAGAGGTTGTATCTTTAGGTTAGTTTACAATTTGCTTTTTCTGAAAGGGATTTGTGTGTAAGGGGGAAAATAGTGGTTTATTTCACTAACAGTGCAAGTGTATAATACACTTGTAAAAACAACTCTGGAGTAATACCTGAGTCTAAACTGAACAGCAGCTGAACAGCAGGTTCACCCATTCTCTGGGAAGAGGATTTTAAATTTCCTCACAAACTGAGGTCTACATGTCTGCATAATGTTAGTAATTTCACATGTCAGAAATTAAAACCTTCATCTAACAGCAGGGGAAAAGATCGGTGAAAAGAATGGAAAGATTTTCATAGTATTGTTTGAGAATAATCTCACTTCATTTCTAGGTGTAGAGTTGGTAATAAGGTGTCCTGAGAAAGAGGGAAATGAGTGGGATAAATTATTTTTCCTTATAAGGGTATAGAAATTGAAAAAGACAAATGTCTGAGTAGCAGTACTCCCACTGTCCTCTGCTCTAGGTGTCAAATGGTTTTATAAGAAGATAATACTTTTTAAAGTCTTTAATTAGCACACATAATTTTTATCTTGTTAGGCTAACTGTTCTGCCTGTATTTTGTGGATGCTAGAGTTGTCTGTTCTTCCAGGAGGTAGGCCTCAGTGAAAGCAGCCAAGAATTGCAAATAATGTTTATTACCTGAGGTAAGAGGAAGTCAAGTGTAGCACTCCATTCATTATACTGGAAATAAATTTGTTATAGGTAAGATGATCAGATTTTCTGTCCTGGTTCTCCAATTGCTTAGAGAATGTGAATGTCAGAATTGTTATATAAATGTGCATTTTCACTTACCTGTGCAGCCACTAAGATGGATGAATATCTGGGGCTTGTAAAAATATCTGGGGCTTGTAAAAAGCCCCAGATAGGAAGAATAGTTGAAAATCATATTTCCGTTTCACTACACTATGTTCCTTACTACAGGAGAAACTTCACAATTTTATACAATTGTCAAGTAGAAAAGGCTGGAAATGTTATTGTTTCTAGGTCTGGAGATGGCATGGGTTCAAAAGCCTCCAGAAATGGCAATAAGTGGCGAATTCTTCAATGTGACTTATGCAGTCTTTGCTTCAGATGGCTTTTATCAATACGCAGTACAAAATGGAATCCTTTCTCACAGGTATTACCTCCTATCATATGTTTTCATAGTCACGAGTATATGGTGGTTCTGTACGTACACACATTTTTTGTAACACAGTCAGAATACGTGATCTTGTGCTCCTTACTAATTTCTTGCATCTCTTTAGTTCTCTTCTAGAAGCATTTGCACTGTCATTAGCCCCTCTGGAATGGCTTGGCTATCACATCATGACACACTCACCTGCATGTTAGTGACAATGCTTGTCATCCTGCATCTATATTACAGTCTTAGTGCAACTCTGAGTGTACTTCTGATCTCTTCACAAGGAATTTACAACTGAAATTCTAGTGTGACTCTCAAATTCACTGCAGTCTATATCAGTTTTAATAATAAGAATGTTCAAAATGCACAACATAAATGACAGAGGGATTGAATCTCCAGAGCCCACTGAAGAGCTTATTTTGATTGCTGTGGTGTTGAAATCTGTCCAGAAGCTTATATCATAGAATCATAGAATGGCTTGGGTTGGAAAGGACCACAACGATCATCTAGTTTCAAGCCCCCTGGTGTGGTGCAGGGTTGCCAACCACTAGATGAGGCTGCCCAGAGCCCCATCTCGTCTGGAATATCACCTCATAGACTTATATATCACCTCACAAACTATAGACAATGTAGATTAGGTACAGCTTTTGTATGTGTATAACTTTGTGTCAATAAAAGACTACTATGTTGTGAACTTACATTTGTGAACTGTACACAGCATACTCCAATCACATAGAAAAAAGTTTGTGACGGAGACGGCAGCCATAATTTCCCACTCTGTGCTTTATTTGACTACTAAAAGAGATGCTTATAGAAAAAACCTCATATACTTTCTTTGTCAGTGTGAGTTTTTGCTTTGCAAAGCTCAGACTGTAGAAGTTTTTGTAGAGAGTGGTTTTATTTAATTTTGGAAGATTACTTATAATCCATTTGCAATGTCAAAAGTTGATTTATTTTGATGATCTATATAATAGTTTTTCATCAAATTATCTGAGATTTCTGGCTAGTGATATTTCCAAGAATTTGACCAAAAAACATTTCACTTTGTAGAATTAATCTGTTTTTCTGGTCTTTTCAAAGTGACCCACTCCCCTATATAGGCAAGAAATTTGTAAAATTCTGCTTTTTGAATATTTACACATATCTTGCACAAAGAGATAGGCTATAAATACTAAAAAGAGAAGCATTTATGCTGTGGTTTCAAAGAGGCATCAAACTTGTACCTCAGTATCTAAGGACTATCTCAGTTGTCTCTCAGGATGCCTGACTCAAATATGACTGTAGATGGCAAGTCATTGTATGAGCTTCAGAAAGATTGGGTAAGGTGCTGATGAACTACAGAAAGCAGTACTGAATGCATAATAAATTCTAAAAAGCATTTACAAAGACCTAACAGCATTAAGGAGTAATTATCTTAAGGTTTTGGTTTTTTTTCTTTCTTTTAACTTTCACCTTGAGCTTTATATTTTTTATATTTTAATATTTTGTTTACTTAAGTGTCTTAGTGATTGACAGATTTGCTTATTTGAGATATTGGGTATTTCTATACCTTTGTAAATCTGGTTCTTAATATGACCCATGTCAACCTTATTCCCTGTTTTTGCGTTTATTTCTTACAATACAGTCTTCTTTCTTAAGTATGCTAGATTCTGCCTACTTGATCTTGCTGCTCTGAAACTAATGTCTGCTTTTTGTATTATGTTGGTCCACCACATAAGAGGCAGATGTTGGTTGTATGGCAGTTGAGGCTGAACTACCAATATTCCATTACATTTTGTTGCACATGACAGATAGCAGCAGAGGGGCAGTCTGACAAAACAGCATCTGACATGGAAGTACAGATGAAGAAAAAAGAGTTTCACTGAAATCCTCTATGCAAAAAATATTGTACTCATTGACATTCATTGATACATTCTGAACATTTATGGAGAGCAAGCAGTGAGTGTGAGCACAGTGAGGGGTAGGTGGGTGGTGCATTTCAATAGTGGCAATAGTGACAGCGGTCATCTCCACTGGTGCAGACTGCTACAAGCATGGCATGCAGGCTTTTATTCATTACTGACCAAAAAAAAAAAAAAAAAAAAAGCATAGCTAATGATGGTGGCTCTATTGAAAAATAGATTTTGTAGCTGAGAATTTGCTCTATCAAATAGTGTCATTGTGTTCTTTGCATTTGTTGTAGTTTCCATGGAAATAAATAGGAGGCATTACTTTCAGAGCAGCCTGTATATATAAATATATATATAGTTTCTGGAGTGCTGGCATTCCTTTCAATTTAGAGAACTATCATGTGTAACTTTCAAACTAAACCATATAACTACTTCTGGATATATCTCCTGAGTCAACCATATTTGGAGAAATTTCTTCTCAGAAAGAGTGGTGATGCATTGGAGTAGGCTGCTCAGGGAGATGATGAAGTCACCCACCATTCCTGGAGGTGTTCAAGAAACATGTGGATGATGCTCTGAAGAACATGGCTTTGTGGGCCTGGTGGGGATGGGCTAGTGCTTGGACTCAGTGATTTTAGTGGTCTTTTCCATAACGATTCTGTGATTCTTAAAAATTATTTTATTTTAAAGCAAAATATGTTTATGAGGGTGATAATCAACTTCAAAGAAATAGTTGTTTTTCTGAAAGTGTAACTCAGCAAATAGACTGGAAAAAAGTGTGACACATTTCCAGAGAACTACATTCATTTTTCACTGATGAACTGTCAAAAGTTCTACCTTATGTTTACTTCATATAATATTGTCTTCTCTTTTAAGCCTACTCTCTACTGGCCAGTTTTTCTCAGTAGTTGTCAAGCTGTACATGGAGTACTGTGTCCAGTTCTGGTCCCCATAATTCAAAAAAGCTGCAGGCAGACTCTACAGGATCAAAAGAAGGGCCACAAATATGATCCAAGTGGTGAAGTATACCTGCCCTATGAGGACAAGCTGAAGGAATTAAAATTTTTCAACCTGCATAAGTGAAGGTTTATGGTGGACCACGTTACTGTATTCCAAGTGTGGCTACTAAAAGGATGGGGGCCGCTTCACAAGCAGCCACACGTAGAAGGAACAATGGGAAAAAAACTGCACTGGCAGAGGTTTCATCTTGATTCAAGAAAGATTTTTTTTATAGTGAGAACAGTTAGTAACCAGAACAGTCTCCGCAGGGTCACTGTGGTTGAGTCAACATCACTGGAAGTTTTTAAGTTGTGATGGACAGGGTGCTAGATAATGTCGCAGAGGCTCCCTTTTCTCATGAGATTTTGGATCTGATGATCTAAGTCTGTTCTACCCTAAGCTGTTCTTTGATTCTGTGGCTATTTTGAAGAACAACGTATCCATATAGTCCCCTTTTTGATCTAAGCGTTTGGTTTCAGGAATTTTATCTGATATTATTGTGCAGTGTGCTAACTATGTCTGTTTGGATTGTGGAGAAAATACTAAAGTCAGATAGTAATCACATGCATAGATGGACATATACAATTGACAGTACTAAGTATGGAAGTAGCCAGGGGCACAGATTTTTGATAACGAAAGTATAGTAATGGTAATTCTTCTGAGCCAGATGTAGCAGCATCAAGTAATCCCATATGGTTATGAAGATAGTAAGGAAACATGAATGGAGGTTGGTAGCTGTCTAAGCTATATTATCTGACAGAACTCCCTATTATTTAACATAGATGGTGATCCAGTTGAAAGCACTCTTTGCTATAGGATTGTTTCAACCAGAAGTAGAAAAAAGAGAAATGATGTAACAATATTTCTATCACTGCATATGTTTATGCTAGTAATTTTTCTGTGAAAGATTTTCTGTTCTTTTACTAATTTTTAGAGAGAAGGAATTAATATAAAATTATCACTCTTTCTCTGCTCCTTGGCTAGCAATGCTAGTGCTGCAAAGGAATTCTGTGAGGAGCATGAGTGCCCTGCCAGCTGGAAAGATGCAAATGGCGAGAACTGCTGTGTCCACCATGCCAATATTCACTCTTGTCCTTTGGCCTTCATGGTTAGTATGATAGTATGCGTTACTGTGTTCTGCTTGTGATAATGGATAAGCCATTCATGGCAGTGATCAAGTATTTTATGTTATTTCTGAGATTACAATTAGACCAAATCAGTATTCACTGAAGTAGTTGTGGGGATGTCAGTCAATTTCAGAAAGTTTTGTACTATATTTGAAGCTGCAAAGCAAATACCTGTATTTTTGGACAAAGTAGTATTCAGAGTTGCTCATTATGCTTAATAGAACCAGTTTCAACTCTTAAATATTACTTGACTCATATTCACACTTTCTGTACAGTCAATAGAGAAAGAAAGAGTGAATTGTCATTTGCAGGTATCATTATCTCTCTACTTTTAGACAGCTTTAGTGAGATATGCTCTGCAAACTGGCATTGACTCATAAAAGATCTTTTCCTTTCTAAAGAAAATAAACTGCAATATAAAAAGTCAAGTTGCAATAAAACTCCTTTAGAAAAATATAAGATGTGGGATACAATTCTGTTTCTTGTTCTTGTGCAGCAAAAACTGAAAAAGTATATTAGCTTCATAAAATTACCGCGGCTAAATGTATGGCCAGATTTTGGTTCATGTATTTCAACAGAAATGAGATTTGTGAGATATTTTAACTCAGTGTGTGATTATTATTTGAGTTTATTCATTTTAACAGATTTGGTTATTTCTTGAGAAGAATATAAATAATTCTAAAAAGGTAAAAGAGGGAGACCTAAGATTTTTATGGTCATTGTTAGTGACATAACCAATTTCTCTGATAAAGGGTAGAGGAGGAATATGTGGTCCGTGGATTCCTGATGATGGCCAGATATTTACTCACACTTTGTCGACAGCTGGCAAAATGAGCCAAAGAAACTGGACTGCCAAGGTAAAGTTATTTTTTGAATACAATAAATGGTTTGCTATTCTCAGAACTTACTTCCTAATAGGTTCCAGTGTTCCCTGCTTTATTTACTTATGTCAGGATTATGTATGGAAGTGGTACATAGGGCTGAGTATCATCAATTCCCAGCTGACTTGATTGGAAAAACCAGTTTTGTATACTGCTACTTCCTATGCAGTTAGTAGGAAAAAATGGGGATGGGAAGGAAGAACACAGCCTAATCTGTCTGTGTAAAGTCTACACTAAGAAAATACTGCATTAGTGACTGGACTGTGTTACAGGTTAGTACAATCTTTGTGAATTTTCTTCTGAACAGAAGTAATGGGAAAGCAAATATGACAGATGCATAGGCTGAAAGACATGCCTAGCTGAAAGAAAACATACCAGTGAGAGGAATCCCAAAAGGCTTTTCTTTCTTGTTGCTGCTTATCTTACCAGACAAGCACTCCTTTCCTTCCTGACACTGACACACCTTCTTTTTGAGAACTTCACAACTATATGATCCTTGTTAAAATGACTTATTGTATGCAAGTGAAGTTTTGATCCTTGCAGCTTTGTCCACTTGTTTGGCAGGTTGTTTTAGTTCATGTGGGTGTGACTTCTCTCATCGCACACATCAGAGTTGGGAGAATGCAAGCTGCTCTGGAAGCGAAAACCACAGTCCTTCCTGCAGTAGGTATGATACAGAGTGAAGATGTGAGGGAACTGCACATTGACTGCAAATCTCAATGCTTTTAACATTCATGCATGGTTACCAAGAGCAACAGCTACCTCTCTCTGTGATTGAAGCCACTCTTGCCAAACAGGTAAACTCAAACCAAGACCAACAGCTTCAGCTGAAAATACCTTGAAAATACTCTTCCAGTCATGACATTGTGAGAATCTGGACATTCTTCATATGAAGGAATGCAAACTAGCCCTAAGTCTGTTGGAAAGGTAGAAACCCAAATTGTTTCCACTGTTTACGTTAAAATCCTGTTGCTTCCAAAGGCATCACACTTCTGTGTACATTAGTTTCGCTGTATGCAGGAAAGCAGAAATAGTAATAATATTATATTAGCAAAATAAAATCTAAAAAGAAAACTCATTTGATAAATTAAACACACAGCTTGAAGAAAAATATTGGTTTAAGCAAACATCACAGTATTCTTGTTAGCTACTCTTCTGAAAGTCTGAGAATATATTTCTCAGTGTTATGAAAAAAGCAGAGACGAAGCAATTCCAAAGTGGATGGAAGCAATGGATTTTGTTTTGCTGAGTTTTTTTAAAAAATGTATCACATAGTGACAGGATAATATCCTTAGCTTGTCTCAGGAGGCTGAAGTGCGAAATTGTATTAGTTTAGGCACAGAGGTAAAATTGAAACAGAACTCAAGACACATGAGACAGAGTTTTGTCCTCTAGGGCTTTTGTTTTAAATCACATCTGATAATTTTCAAGACCTTGGAGAAAAATAAATCCTTGAAGCATGAATTTCAGGGTTTCACTCTGAAGTACCTGGGATCATATACTTCTAGAGATATCAAGGATTGGATTAAATACAAAGAACACAAAAGACAATGTCCACACTGAGAAACTTCTTGCCTCAGAAAAAAAAAAAACAAACCAAAAACAACAACAAATAGACAATGAGTTAAGACACAAAAAAAGTCAAAGGCTCTCACATCATTAACCTCACATCAAGCAGAACCTACATCACTTTAAAAAAAAGAAAAAACAGAAAAACACAATTATTTCCACTTCTTGGGTGGTACCATCTCTGAATTCTTTAGATGTATTCTTTCAGGTACTCTGAGGTTTCCCAGCCCAAGAACACATGTTTAAATCTGAATTCAACCTTGTTGATTAATGAAACTATCTTAAAATAACCTAATTCTTGTTTCTGTTTCTAATCAGTTTGTGGAGATGGCTTTTGCGAGGAAGAAGAAAGCTGCTCTATTTGTCCAGCAGATTGTGGAGAATGCCCTCTGTCTGCTTATACTAGGATAGCAATTGCCTTACCCATATGTTTAGTCTGCACTGGCTTCATTATGACACTCATGGTAAGTATTCTTTCTTTCATTACTCTTGCGTCCAGTATTTCATTATTTTGAATGGAGTGTTCTCCTAGTAGAGGGTGAGTTTACTTCTGCATCCTAAAACTGTGTGGTAGAAAAGAAGGCATTAATTGCTTCTCTAGATGGGAAAGCTGGTTGTGATAGGAAATTTCATTCCCTGAGTCTTAAGACTGAAAGGGAATTTAACAGAGGGCTATGTAATGGTCGAATTAGAACACCTCATTATTAAGTCCTTCACAACATGAGATGGGGGTGACCAGTGAAGTGAGAGTGCTTTTTACTCAATAAAATCCTATTATGAAACTGACCCAAAACCCTGTGTAGGTGAGAGGTACACATTAAATTCTAAAACAAGTTAGATAAATTCATAAAGATCCACCAGACTTCATTAAGTCTGAGTGTCCACATACATTTTGTTATAGAATACATTCAACTTGGGATATTTTAAGATTATTGATAGCTGGACATCCAAAGAAATAATGAGAAGATATTTCTTTTTATTCTGTTAATTTTGTGTGTGTATGTTTATCTGTGTGCGTTCTTTTTTAAAAAGCTTATTTTCTTAATGTAGGTGAACTAATTTAGTGATTATCTGTGTTACTGATTAATATAAAAGACTTGTAAAGTAAAAGCAAAAGGATAACAAGAGAGGAACATAGTGTGTCATTATTTTGGAAGAAATTTATGACTGATACAGAGCTCACCCAATCAAAGTTGCCCCATTTATTTCAAAAAGTTTCTGAGAAAAAAAAATCTACATTTTATTTTGTAAAAGTATGATTGAACAAAGGCAAATTAACCTGAAGTGACCACTAGTCTTGCGAATTCAGCTGATTGGAAATATCTCTGTATAGAGATGACAGCAAATTATTACAACTTATTTGCCTTATTACTTTTAGCACTGTCACTTCGTAGTGCCTTTGGTGAAGTGGATCCGTATGCCTCATTTATTCACATGTTAAAAAATCTGTAACAAGGGCATGATTATGTGCAGCTGTGGAGTCATTATGTTGACTCTGTACTTAAATAGATCATTTCTTTGGGGTTTAGCCTATAGAGCATGTAAATCCATAAAATCATATTTCACCCATTCTTTTCATACTGCATTTGTGCTAAGCACCTGAAGTAACTGAGTGTGTTGAAAAGGCATGGAAGAATGTTGATGGCCCACAGAGTAAGTTACTGGGGGTGGTCTCAATCACCATTTGATTTTGTTCTCTGTTCTGCATTTCTCTGTGTGGCTTTGCAAGTTAGGAACTGAAGTATTTTTGAAAACTAAGCCTTAATCTCCTTGTGTTTCTGTTTTTTACCTGAGCATTTACAATCCACACAAAGGCTGTGGCAATGTGCTTATAGTAACTTTCCTATAAAACAATATGCTCTGATAGAAATGTGTACTTGAACAGGTGATAAATTAAGATATATTTAAACAATTGAAATTTTACAAAAAGAAAATGGAGTTTCTTGACCTTGAGTAGATTTAACTAAAGTAAAAGTTTATTTATGTAGTGAAACTTATCCATTAGTGGTTTTTTTTTTTTTTTTTTTTTTTTGTAGGTTTTAGGAATTTTTTTAGGGTTTATTTATTTATTTATTTATTTTGCTACATACTTACTCCTTCTGCTAAATTCTGAAATAGCATCTTCTTTTCTTTATTGTTTGGGTGATGAGTAAACAAGTTAGGAAAGATCATTTTATCCAATTCAGTAATGAATATTATGTAAGAAGAATCATCTTAGAATCTAATATCTTCTTCATCATTGAAGCAGAAGAGAGGGCTCCTTTGATCTCAGTGTCTGCACCAAGACTGGTGGTCACTTCTAGCTAATATGTCTTTGGTCATATCTTTACAAAATAAAATGCAGATATCTTTTTCCAGAAATCCTTTGAAATAAATGGGATGATACCATTTTGATTCAGCAAGCTCTAAATCAGGCATAAATTTCTTCCAAATGTTGAAACAGTTTCCACTTGCTGGAGAGTACATTTGAGTATTATTTGGACTTTCGTTAACTGTTTCAGTGAATGCATGATTTCTAATATTCTACACTACAGAAAATAATTAAGGTGAAATGTGGGTTTGCTGTTTTGGCATTGACTGCAGCTATGCAGTCGTAATTTAATTTGCTGCTCATCTTTTGAAAGCATATGCTTATACTTTTATGTTGTGTCAATATCCTAAGACAGCTATTCATGGGAGCATCTATGTCTTCTTTATAAAATAGCCACAAGATCTATATCTGATATTGTTTATACTAAAGTATTGGACTTAACGTGATCTCATTTGTAAATCTGGTTATAATTCTGTCACTGGATATAACATGCAGTGCTACTTTTCTTGGGGCTAGAGAGCAATATTTTCATGCAATTAGGCAGCATAGGTGGGTCATTTCCATATTATGAGGTGATGTAAACAACTGTTTGGATGCCCAGGCTGAGATCTGACTGTACTGTGTTAAAATTACTGACAATAATGGAAAGAGTTCATAGCCAATGCAAAATATTATATGTCAATAGATCCTAGAATATAGAATATACTGTTCTAAAGAACTTTGTTAGATTCTATTTTCTTGTAGGTCTGTTATTTCTAATGCTGCTGATATGATACAGACTGAATATTTAAGCATCAGATTTTGGGGGGATACTTAAATATTTTCATTTAAAAAAAAATAATCTCTGGATAAGTTCATTCAAAGTTGGTGGAGTTGAATTCAAGAATGAATGTGATTTATTTTTGTAGTGGTTTCAGTATCAGAAACAAAAGATGCTTTGGGATGAAAGCTGGATTATAGAGTTCACCTGCATCAAACAAGGTTAGTAACATTTCATTTTGTTACTGTTAGCAGTTTCATTAATAATTTTATGAAATAATCTCAATAATCTCGTAAGTACATCTTGTTTACAGAAATTTATGGAAATTCTTCAGTTCAAAAAGACAGATATATCCCCAAACGAACAGATAACTTCTAGATCTGGAAAAAATAAATTATATTTGCTGCAGTGGATGTGTGGTTCTGTATAATTGGCCTCACTTGCTTACCCTGGCTTTACAAAAACAAAATGAAAGATATAATGAGATCTTAATTTCTCTCAGTGGGTACTGTCTTTGACAGTTTTGCTGCAAAAATTAATTCACTGCTACCTGACTTCTTTTTCATTTTACCTTCAGGATATAAAATATGATTTAAATTGTCTGTAACTAAATATGTTAAGAATAAGATCAGATGTTATTAAATCCTGTACAATGCTGCAATTGATTCAATTTCCTGACCAGAGCGTTAGCACTCAGAAGCAGAGAAATGCCTTGACCCTCAGAAGAGGCAGATTTGAAGAAACTAACTGAAGTTGATAAGGCTGTGCTGATATGAGCTCTGATTTTCTGTTTCCTCAAGGAATTGCTAGAAAGATCTGTTTTAGCTATGTTACGTCATTGTGTTTCTAGTAGTGTAAAAATGTTCTTGTGCTAATGTTACAATGATACTTTCACCTTTGGACATGAACGTTAACTTCTGTGCAGTTAGTTTTAGTATGATATCCTCGTTGCAGTAAAGGACAGAGACTGGCATAGAAATTAATTTGAGTACAGAATGCAAACCTTGACAGTTTTGTCAGTGCTTAGAGTAACTGGCCAAACCTTTTGGAGATGGTGAAACAATAAGAAATTCATTACAAATCTTTGAAATTCATTCTGTAACCTAAAGCTGATCAACATATATTAAAAGACATACATTGAGATCACTTTTTCCCCATCTAAGTGTATTATTGCTCTTCTCTGACTTCCTCAGATGTCAGAGTCACTTCCCACATCCCTGTACTCTACAGGCTTCTAGGAGCTCCAGATAGACTTGTTAAAATATGGCACAGAACTTGCTCTGCTTCCCTCAGTTCTGTCCTCTGCACTTCACTAGCAGCAAGGATTGATCATCCTGAAATCAGGAAGACTTGCACTGAATCTTGAGGTTTAGTGGGAAAGATCTGTGGCAGTGCATCACCTCTTGGGTTGTTGTACTTTTTATGCAGCAGTCACACTCTTAAAAAAATAGCTTTCTGTCTTACCCATTAACAAGACCAATCCTGCATGTAAAGATTTGGTGAATTCCTTAAATTTGCCTGCCTCCGGAGTCTGTACCTGTGTAATAATATGCATTTTCTAATCCCACATCCCATTTAGATCACAAACTCTGGACAGCAACAGGAAGCGTGATAAGTGCTCCCCCAGCACCAAGTGAATCCAGTGCCAGCTGTATCACTGTTCTGAGCTCCTGCACTGCAGCTGCTAATGCATCCAAGAAACAGCACTTCACCCAGACTGGGAGATAGTAAGTCAACATATTACTAATTTTCTTCAGTATCCACTATCCTATAGTTTCACTGTGCTTTATGTTTCTTGTAACCTTGCTGTTAATAGATAGTCCAAAAGCTTGAAATTCTCTTGTAACACCAAATCTGGTAAGTTAGTAGCATCATTTGACTTCTGTATACTTACTGGCTGTAGAATCTGAAACATGATGTCTTTTGTTTTGGTTATCATTTCTCCTTTTCTCTTTGGGTGACTGCATAATGTGACCTGTATCTGTTAATGAATGACACCTACTACTGCTCAAATACATTTGGAACCAAGGTTTCAATGCAGATCTTTTTCTAAAATGCAGGTAGAGCACAGCTGGATTATTTGAAGAGTGGCGTAGTACTTATATGTTGGGTACCATACAGTATCAGTTAAATATCAGTTAATTCCTGCATACATCCCCAATGGATTCTCTAATGGAAAATTGTTTTGCTGTCTGTCGAATTCTGCTGCTTTACCTGAGAATACTGAGAATACTTCATCTCATGGAAGCAGAAGGATGTTAAATATCAATGATGGATCTCTAAAACAGTAGAATTGAAATAATGAATAGATACTGCTGTGTTTCCTACCTCTGATATTCCCATTGCTGCTACTCAGTCATCCAGTTGCCTAAATTTACTGTAACACTCTCATATTTCAAATGACATACACACAACAAGAATGCCTGACTGTAAGTACTAATGCTTGCCTTATCATAGAAGCAGGGTCTTGTCAAATACTCATATTCAGCTTCACATGTACTTATAGACACACTCAAACTTTCTGCTTCATCTCTAAAGATATGAAGCTGCTTGCAGTAAAAAAAAAAAAAAAAAAAAAAATCTGCCAATTTTCCTAACCTTACGAAATTATGTAGTTGGCCTAATATTCTCTGAACAGCATTTAATTCTGTTTCAGTGATGGTAGAACAGTGGCCATTAAAAAAATAACGAAGAAGGCATTTACCCTATCCAAATCCATACGTAAGGAAGTAAAGCAAGTAAGGTAAGAAGTGAAACCTGAAAACTGTATGCTGTTCTATGTGTATATTGGTTCTTAAAGGTTACCGCCTGTCCAAACATTATAATACACAAATATTCTTCTTTTCTTCAAACTTTGCTTTGACACTAGATGAAAATCTTTTTACAGCTGTTTTACTTTTTTCTTTACTTTTTGAGACAAGACTTCTAGTTTTCCAGCTACTGTACAGAAAGTAGGAAGGAGATCCATGAAAATTATTTGTGTGCTGTGTTTTCTGCTAATTTTTACAGGGAACTTGACCATCCCAATCTCTGCAAATTCATTGGTGGTTGTATAGAAATACCAAATGTTGCCATAGTGACAGAGTACTGCCCCAAAGGCAGCCTTCATGATGTTTTGCTCAATGAAGATATCCCTTTGAACTGGGGATTCAGGTAAAAATAATAATAATAATTTTAAAAGAAAAAGCTAAAAGATACAAAACTGTGCTGACAGATGCTATGTGCTGTTTGGGACAAAATAGAAATTACAGATGGTAGTTGGAATGAAGCACACACTGTGTTATGGAGAGAATGAAGAAGAAAGAGAGTGAATTTTTAGCAGGAAGTTTTTCACGCAGAGTGTGGTGATGTGGTGACACACTGGAACAGGTTGCCCTAGGAGGTTGTGGATGCCTCATCCCTGGAGGCATTCAAGACCAGGCTGGATGTGGCTCTGGGCAGCCTTGTCTAGTGGTTGGTGACCCTGCACGTAGCAAGAAAGTTGAAACTAGATGATCATTGTGGTCCTTTTCAACCGAGGCTATTCTAGGAATCTATGACTCTATGATTCTATGAATTCAAATATCCAGCCTAACTCAGTTCCTGGATTTTTGATCAATCATACACTGAGCTCTGGTTACACAAAGTTAATGACTTTTCAACCCACCCTTGTTTATACTGCTACTGTTTTCAGATCTTTATTTCTATGTGATTTCATCTACTTCTCCAATATCTTGGGCATCTGCATTTAATTGAAAAGCACTGTAAAATTGCACAGATTAAATGATTAACATATCTACAAATGCCTTGTTATATTTATTGACGCTGAAAATGAGTTAATGGTCCCAAGCCACAAGGGCACTCTCGTTATTCTTTGAGACTAATCTTGGCATGCTCTTTTTACTTCTGCCTATTGTTTTCCTTCAACAAAGAAAAAGAGCGTAAGGAAGGAAAATGTTTTTCTTGTAAACATTTGAAAAGCACTTCAAATAATACAAACATACTGGGAAGTTCTAAAGGAATCTGAACCGTTGTAATAGAAGCTAATGGCCTGTGGACCCCAAACAACTGAGTGAGAGTTAAAGGCTTTCATCAACCCACTTCATATGTTTTGGAAAAATGAGGTGGAATGACAGATTTCAAAGCTATTCCAATCACTAGAGCCTTTCTGTTAGCTCCAATAGGTTTCAAACCCACTCTTGAGTGAAGATCTGGTTTATTGGACATGCTAGTTTATTGATTTTTGTCTTTCAGGTTTTCTTTTGGTACTGATATTGCCCAAGGAATGGCCTATCTTCACCACCACAAAATGTATCATGGACGATTGAAGTCTAATAACTGTGTAATAGATGACCGATGGGTTTGTAAAATTGCAGGTAAAGAGAAGATAAATGAAAATTCAAAACTCTCAAGGTAGCCTACTAATGTGTGTAGATTTCACACTTAACATTGCTCCCAAGCACCTTCATTTTGATATTTTTGCTGAAAAATGCTGGTGTTACACGATCATTTCAGGCCTCTCCTTTAAAATAGGTTACTGCTGCATCATCAGATTCCATAAGTGATGAAGTCTATCAACATCAGGCTGAACAGAAATTCTGTCTCTTTCTCAGTTACGATGCAGAGAGAAAACTTTAGCAATGGACACTGCTGTAAAGACATGGAACAATGCTGACTGGCAAACATGAGGTAGTTCATGGAGAAAAACAGTCTCAACTCAGCTTTTCAATCTTGTACTCAAAACTGAATTATTATTATGGAGCTATAGTCACCCTGCTCCTGCTACAGGAAGACAGTATGTGGGAACATTAAAACCACTACAGAGCCTAGGTTATTCTGCAACAGCTAAGGGACTGGAAAATTTTTTCATCTTTTTCCATGCTAGTTATTTGACCCTGTAATCTGCAGGCATCTTAAAAACAACTGCAATAGATACACTTTCAAAGATTTCTCCTAAGAATAAGACCCCTACAAAGTGCTATGACTGCTTCTCTTCCACCTTTAGTATCCTGTTTGCAAGAATATGCTTTGCTTAGAGCCTTCACTCAAGTGAACATACTGTCTCTGAATACACTTTTATGAAATCATGGAATAATTCTCCCTGGAAGGGGACATTTAGTTCACCTGGCCCTCTCGAAAGACTGTTGTGCAGTCTCACCCAAGTATTTACTCTCCAGATCCTAAATTTCCAATATTTTTAAGAAAGAGAAGACCACCAGGCGCACATCATTTTTGGTTTGTATTTTGAAGAGAGAAAACTAATTCCTTTAGACTTATTTTATCACTGTGTACTAAGACCTGTGTTTCAGAGAAATAGAGACTGAACGGTTCATTTTCTGTTTTCTTCCACGGTAGATTATGGCTTGCAGTTGTACAGAAAAGAAGATTCTTCTGAGGGATACCAGCAGAACTTGATACAGATTTACACAGCTCCTGAAATCCATTCCCTTTCAGATTTTGAACCCAATTCCATGACGGATGTATACAGGTAATTTCCTGTCTCTTTAATAGTTACAGCTTAAGTCAAGTATACTATCTTCACTTTTTAGACTCAGAGTATCATGGTCATCCCATGGATATGCTTGAATGCATTTTACAGAAATTCAATGATGTCAATACCTTAGAGTTAATAGCATCAATTTTGCAGGATAGGATATTTGTGCATTCCACAGTTCTATAATTAGTGTCAACACACTGTTCTGGCATGATAATATTCAATTTGCAGGTAACAATTAGAGCAAGGAAGATAGTGAATAGTAATAAGCACCAATGAATTGCTCTATCCTTTTTCTTCTGAAAGCCACTATGGGAGATCATTGCAATAGCTTATTTGGTCATCAAGGTTTGCATTACCAGTGATGGACAGCTGGCAACACTAAACTTGATAGCCAAAAAAAGGTACTGCAAAGTGATTTCCTATAAAGAAGAACCAATTCATTTCCAAGTAAAAGGGATTACTATTGACTTTTTAGAGAATAATAATCTAATAACAAAATCATCAAACTGAGTTGAAAAATATCATATCAATATTTCTTGACTTTCCCACTAATTTTCGACATTAAGGAGGAAATAATGTATTCTTGGTATATCCTAGTTTATAATATCAATACTTCCTCTGTGCTTATTTCCAGTAATTAGTTAGTTAAAAGTAGTTGACATGGAAAATTGTAGGATGGTAATGCAAGATTTTTGCGGCTTTTTTCTCTCTCTCTCTTTTTTTTTTTGCTTTTCTCAGAACAGCAGAAGACTCCTGTTTTCTGAGGAATTTAGTAGCTAGCAGAGCATAAAGTACTCGAATTTAAATGGAGCTTGAAATGTTGATCATTGAGCAGATGAAAGCATTGTTGTTAGCACTACTTGTTGAAAACATTTATGAAAGGGTACATACCGTTTTTTATCAAAAGCTTCAAGTTTCCCAGAAACTCACAGAATCACAGAATGGCCAGGGTTGGAAGGGACCTCAAGGGTCATGAATCTTCAACTCCCCTGCCACAGGCAGGGCCACCAACCTCCACATTTAATACTAGACCAGGCTGCCCAGGGCTCCATCCAACCTGGGGGGGACAAGGGCATCCACAACCTCTCTGGCAGCCTGTTCCAGTACCTCACCACTCTCTCTGCAAAGAATTTCCCCCTAACATCCAACCTAAATCTTCCCTCCCTCAACTTAAAACCATTTCCCCTTGTCCTGCTGTCACTTACCCTTTCAAAGAGTTGACTCCCCTCCTGTTTGTAGGCTCCCTTTAGGTATTGAAAGGCTGCAATGAGGTCACCCTGCAGCCTTCTTTTCTCCAGGCTGAACAGGCCCAGCTCCCTCAGCCTGTTTTCGTAGGGGAGGTGCTCCAGTCCCCTGATTATCTTTGTGGCTCTCCTCTGGACCCTCTCCAACAGCTCTCTGTCTGTCTTGTACTGGAGGCTGCAGACCTGGACACAGTACTCCAGATGGGGCCTCACAAGAGCAGAGTAGAGGGGAACAATCACCTCCCATATCCCTGCTAGCCACCCCTCTTCTGATGGAGCCCAGGTTACCATTTGCTTTCCAAGCTGTAAGAGCACACTCATGTTAAGCTTTTCATCTATCAGGACCCCCAGGTTCTTTTCTGCAGGGCTGCTCTCAAGGACCGCTCCTTCCAGTCTGTATAAATGCCTGGGATTCCTCCGGCCCAAGTGCAAAACTCTGCACTTTGCTGTGTTGAACCTCATCAGGTTCACCCAGGCCAACCTTTCAAGTCTGTTGAGGTCCCTCTGAATGGCATCCCTTCCTTCCACTGTGTCAACCGCACCACTCAGCTTGGTGTCATCAGCAAACGTGCCCTCGATTTCATCATTGATGTCATTGATAAAGATGTTAAAGAGCACCGGTCCCAAGACAGACCCCTGGGGGACGCCGCTCGTTACCGGCCTCCACCTGGACATAGAGCCATTGATGACCACCCTCTGTCTGCGGCCTTTCAAACAGTTTCTTATCCACTGAGTGGCCCACCTATCAAATCCACATCCCTCCAATTTGGAGATAAGGATGTGGTGGGGGACCTTGTCAAAGGCCTTCCTCTGACAAGTGTTTACTGCCTTAAATGAGCGTTAAGGGTCTTTCATTGAAAATTTAGTCGCAGAAACAGAAAATGTTTAAATCTCCTTTTTTTTCAGTTGGGATATATTAAAGTCTGAAGGCAAGTCTGAGGCTTTATTTTGTAAACTGCAAGATTTACTGGATTCATTCACATTATTCCCTTGTATGCTTATAAAATACCTGTACATGCCAAAACAATCATTATTTTTAATCCATTCTATGAGGTCAGATTATGGAAATAAGAATTTGAGGTCTCTGTAGTATTTTTATCTATGGGCAAAAATAGATCTTTTTAATTTGCTTCAGGATAGCTCATCTAAAAGCATCTTGTCATCATGTTGATGTCTTTGGCTACTGTAATTCTGTCCTGTCTCAATCTTGACATTGTCAGTATGGACTGGCTTTGCTGTGCTTTAAGTAAGCAGTAATTTAGAGTTATGTTATACATTGCACTTTATAATTGCTTCAAATTAAAAATGCATTCTGTTTTCCAGAAATGTTATTTCCTTAGTGCCTGCTTGGTTTACATGTTGTCCATATTCAGGCTAAATGCCATGACTTGTCTTTGCAGACAACCTGGCCTCCTGAAGCCATTTCTTGCCAAAGACTCACCTTAAAATAATGCTAATAGATTATTTTCTTATATTCTAAATGATTACACAATGCAGTTTTGACAGATTTATTGAATGCTTGCTGAATTTATTTTGCTGTGTCCACAAAATCTAGGTTTCCTTTTGTTGTACGGCAGATAATCCTTGCTTGCTACAAAAGAAAAAAAACAGTAAGAGCTAAAATGCCCAGTCATGGAAGAAAGATGAAGAAAGAGATGTATCCTGTAATAATAGCTAGCTTTTCTCTTTAAGAGAGCTAGTCTCCAGAAACTGCATTTTAACAAAATTTGTATTCATTCATATGAGCATGTATAAGCCTTTCCAGGAGAGTTCACTGGTCAGGAAACAGTGGCCTCATCTTGAAATCCTCAATTTTCAAAATTCCTGACCAAAAAAAAATACACTAATGTTCCTGAAGATCTGGCCCAAATGAAGATAGAGACTACAGGAGTGGGACTTGCAATTTTTTGTGCTTTTGCAGATGAATCATTTGCTTTTAAAGTTCTCCAGGGAATGTGTTGGTCAGATGGGAAAGCTAAAATGGAAATGAGAACAGGAACATGAAAGCACCTCTTAATTGAGCTGAAGAGGCTGTTTCCCATTACAGTTCCTTCTAGATTGACTTATCTTGATTTGTGATGGTTATGTGAATCTGACTTGCCACTCTACTAGGACTTCTCTTGTGCAGCACTGCTAAAGCTGAATAAAATCAATACTGCTTTCTAATTACTTGCTTTGAAAATCTGAGCTTTGCTCTCTCACAAGGAATGGTAATGCTTTCTACTACTAAATCACCACAAAATTAGCATGAAAATTTCAACAGATTAGTTTCTGCATTACTCAATGTTGTTTATATGTGTTATTCTGTTTGCTATTGATATCTCACTAGTAGTCCAAAAGATTGGTAGCCATGCCCCACTGTATGGCCAGAGTGCCATACTAAACATAGGAATCATTAGCAGTACAACAGGCTGCAAAGCAGTTTACTCATAAGAATAAATGTTATCAAGAAGAGATGCTTGTTGTGAAGTAAATATTATACAGTTTGAATATTTACAGAGACAAGAACAGCTTTATCAGTATTGTTGGTTACAGGAGTTATTGGCTTCTCAGAGATCACAGTTTTGAAAGTGAGTTAATAAAGAGACTAAACATCAAGTTGTTAACACTTTTGTTTCATTCTTCACCCTTGATGAGTGTGTTTAACCTTGGTTCATCTAACGAGAATGATGATGATGATGATGATGATGATGATGGCGGTGATATAATTCAGAAAGAAGCAGCAAAAACGCTTACTGTGTAAGAGCTACTCTGGGCACTATGTCTTATCATTAACCTTATGGAGATTTTCCAGAACAGTGATCTATAATGGAAAAAAAGGCTACTCATCCCTATTATGATTCTGGTTAATCTGATTCTGCCCATTGATTACAGCACTGACCTGTCTTGCATGATTAATTGACAGCTATCATGGAGTCCTTGCATATATTCCCTATGGATTCCATTAAATTCCAGAGAAAATTGCTTTGCTGTCCATCAGACTCAAATGTTTAATCTCTTAGACTGATCTGTGAGTAGACTGCTGCTAAGTGATCAGTGACAGATCTTTAAGAACAGAGAAGTAACAGATAACAGAAAAGTTGCTAGCCTTCCTTATGGGATACTGTGCTTTCAGTCATGAAATGAGGAGAAATGAGAAATCCTGGAAAGCTGAAATCAGTGATTCATTAACTATTACTCCATTAAAATTTGTTTTTATTACCTGCAGTTATGCCATCATTTTACTAGAAATTGCTACAAGAAGTGACCCTATGCCAGTAAGTAAAGATGAATTATGAAGATTTTATGGTAATTTTGATTCTGTTTCAGTTGAAGATATAATGCAAACTCTGAATAATTGTACTTTTTCTTTGAAGGAGGGGAGAGTACACACATTTTCCTCTTTAGTTTTTGGGTGCAAATTCAGTTCCAATGGAAAGTGCAACTAGAGCTTCTTCATAAACGTATCAGTTTACCCTCCAGGACTTTAAAGAAGATTTAAAGAAGAGTGTATGAAGAAAATAACTCTAGCTTTAAAATTGCTTTTGTGTTGGCTCTCTGACACTTAATAAGAGGGTGAATGCATACCTTAGTGTCTTTCTTTTGCTACAGTAGTTTCTCCTTCTTCCTAATATTACCAATCCTGTCAGTGGAGACTTGCACCAGTAAGAATATGTTAGAAGGACAACTGAGCTGCTTACTGTAAGAAAAATGTTTTTTTCATGGCCAGTGCTAAATGGCAAACACAAAAATTGCACCTTGAAATTGAAATCAGATGTTCTGAATAAATAATTATATACTGCTTGAAATAATTTACTTAACAGTAATTCTAACAACTAAAACTTGAAACTAACATTCTTGCACTTCTTAGAGCTCATGATATTAGACCAGTGTAGGCCTTACTGTTTCTAAAAAGTCAGCAAGTATCTTGCCAGATACTCATTTCAAAATTTGTTTACCTAGTATAGACACTCAAATTAAAGCCTTACAGCAATGAAAAGCCTCATAAACAAGGCCACTCAGGTTAGATGGAATTATAACTTTTTTTTTTAATGTAAAAAAATTGATAAGGAAGCTGTCATAAAAATAAGAGATTTTCATAGTAATGTATTTTTTAAAAGCTGTCTAAAAAAACATGCCACTTTTTCAACACTGTTAATTCCTTTTTCTCTAGAAAGATGCTGTGTCTTCAGCAGAATGTTCTTGGTGTCTACCTTTAGCAGAATTAATTTCAGGAAATGCAGAGGATTCCTGCCCATGTCCCACAGATTATATAGAGGTAAAATACAATACTGCATACAAAAATTATTTATTGAAATGAATCCAAAGAATGCGACAGAAGTTTCATGGCAATATTACTGATGGATGCAAGGAACTGAGATATCAAGATGCACATCTCAAACAGGGAACAACAAAATTGATTCCATATCCTTAGTAGAAGAGTAGTCATCCTCCCAGATAGAAATTTCAGTTATCCCCTCAAATTGTCAGTATAATAAAAAAATGTTATTAAATTCAGTCATTGATTTTTGTGCAATTTCACTTTATTGTAAAGGTTGAGTTCAACAAATATTAATAATATGTGTCTAGCTTAAAAACAAAATGCTTTCAAGTACTGAAGTATATGTCTCAGGCAAAGCATGAGTTCAGTGATTCTTATGCAAAAGTTTGACTTGTTCAGTAGCCTCAAACAAAGAAGAAGCTGCACACCCTGCCTGTTCAGGTAAATTAAAATGAGGTTTTATGGAATCCTTATTTCAGCTTACGAGCTAAATAATTCACTTTTAATGACTTTTAGCAACCTAAATGTAACAAGCTTCTCATAAGCAGTATTGCATTTCAGTGGGTAGTTAACATTATTAAGGCACATTTCAGTTTTTAAGTGCTTGTGAATTTTTTTGAATGGTCATCTGATTCAGTAGCATAACAATATCTTAAAGCACAAGATGAAATCTTATGCAGAGTTTGGTAGAAGGAATGTGAGCATTTATTTCTTGATTTTCCCCAGCTGAACTTCCATGAGCTAACATCTTTCATTCAGTTACACAGCATTGATCTGCATAAGTCAGGAGGTCATGGTGTAGCCCTGACATTTTTCACCACTGCAGATAAAGCTTCACCTGAATAGCTAGCACCAAGAAAATAATAGTATTAATTAGAAACGCTACATGTGCTTGGAATGACAAAAGGCTTTTTGTGTTTCTCATTCCCTTTTTGTGTCACAGCTAATCAGAAAGTGCAGAAAAAATAATCCAGTCCAGAGGCCTACATTTGAACAAATCAAGAAAATGTTAAACAAGATGAATCCTAATAAAGTTAACCCTGTTGACATGATGATGACTCTGGTAATTTTAGATTTTTAATCCAATTTAGATTTATCTGCTTGCAGTAGCATCTACCTCTATGCTTCAGGGGGTTTGTGGGTTTTTATTTTATATATTGTTTTATTTTATTTGTTGTTTAATCTCTTATTTCATGTTTAATGGGAATACTCTCAGTCAGTTGTTCACTTCTTGCAGATTAAATATAACTTGAGCTACAAAAACAAAGCTGTAGTTCTCCCTGAGACCTGTTTTTCTTCTCATCCTCTTCCTGTCAGTTCTTAACTTTCTCAGCTGCTTTACAGCTGAACACTTTGTTTTTGTCAGTCAAGTACTGCTTTTTTTTTTTTTTTTTTTTTTTTTTCCCCTCCCCTATGGCTAGGTGGTGATTTTACAGTGCTGGAGCTGTAGAAACCCAGCATGATAAAAGTATGTTTACACACACGTTTTGAGCAGTGTGTCTTAAGCCCATCAGCAGAAAGAAGAGAATCCTGACTTCACATCTTGTTGCCTCCTACAGAGCAAAGGCACAAAAAAACATAGCATAGCAGGAAAGCTTATGAAACTGCAGTGTGAATTTTTGACAAAAAAAAAGACTTACATACCTCTTCAGTAACATATTTTAATAAACAGTGGAAACTTGGTCTCTGCTTTGGATTTGACCACTACTGTTCATACAGGCTTTGAAAGTACTGGGACTTGCTTCTGTCCTTTTAGGTGTAAGTAACGATCTTCAATACAGAATTGAGAATTTACTTTAGGAGAAAGCTAGTCTTTGCATTCTGTAGGAAAAGCAACAAGCTATCTCAAATCTGGAGCTTTACTCATCTGAATATTTTCAAAGCATAATAATTCGAATGCTTAGATCCTGCCCAACTACGAACCTGTTTCAATAAATGGATTATTTCATTCAATTTTCCATGTTATTTAGATGGAGAAATACAGCAAACACCTGGAGATACTGGTTTCTGAGAGAACCCAGGACTTGATGCATGAAAAACAGAAGACTGATCGTCTGTTGTACAGTAAGTTATGTAGGAAAAAAAGCTGGATATTCTCAAAATAATTTGGAGTTAGCTGTCTAATTACAAACAGAAAAATCCTGTAACAAGTTTAGTTGTCAATGAATTTATATGCATTCCTTGATAAGTTTAAAAGACATTTAGCTGCTTTTTATATCCCCTCCTAAAAGTCAGCGCACTAATCTCAGAGCTTTGACTGGATACTCTGGACACTGGATGCTCTAGTGCTCTGGTTTGTTTTGACTTTGTTTGGCTGTCTTTCTGTGTAGTTATAAATACTGGGGAATTGCTTTTGGACTGAGGTTACTTTTGCTAGCAGCATGTCTTCTGGAATACCTCAAGAGTAGAGGGATAATGAAATAGTCATAACTCCTAGGAGAGAAAAAGGAACAGGCTGTGAAAAATACAAGATGGTAGAAGTAAATATGATAAAGAAAACCAAAGAGATAGTAAACCAACACAGGAGGAAAACACTAACAAAAAGTTGTCAAAATGACTTAGTGATATCCCAAGTCACCCTATTAGAATTTGACGTTTCTTGGAATGTATAGATACTGGTTTCTTAAAGCTAAAAAATATGAGTCATCTGAAAAATCTTAACTTGCTACCAGTGAGATTTACTGTGAATTCTGACATTATCTGCAGAACAGATTTTGATGCTTAAGACTGCTTTCACCTTCAGAATGTTTCACCTTTACAGACACTGCTCTTACATCTTTAAACAAACATATTGTTATTACTGTGTTCTTTTATCTATGTCAAAATATTAAAAATGCTTTATCTTTTATAACAGGTATGTTGCCAAAGCAAGTAGCGGATGATCTCAGGCAAGGAAAACGTGCACAAGCTCAAAGTTACTTAAGTGCCACCATCTTTTTCAGGTAAATAAAAGTGAACAATAGGAATAGAACTGACTCCTCCAGCAGCATCTAGGCTCCTACCATAGGTGAAGCGTCTAGCTGAGTATCAAATTGATATCTAAACTACCACTACTTGTGGTAGTTTAGATCAGGTGGCAACACTTGACTGCAAATAAGTGTCTATCGAAATTGTCAGATTCTAAGGCTGGGCCCCAGAGTATGGTGGGCAAGGCACAGCTCCCAAAGGCAGCAGGCACAGCCCTGAGCTGCCAGAGCTCAGGGAGCATTTGAGCACCCCTCTCAGACACAGGGTTTGGATTTGAGTGGTGCTTCATGGAGCTGGAAGTTGGACCCCATGGTCCTTGGGGGTCCCTTCCAACTCAGAATATTCTATGACTCTGTGTTTCAGTTTTTTCATTAGAATTATTTAAATGAAAAATGAGAGTACTACAGAGCTCTAACACACAGCAGCACATCAACTGTAGGTGTTACACATACTCATATTCATTTCACAGGACAAGCCTAAATACAGGTTCCAGCATTTAGCTATATAAAGGAAACATATGCATCCTTAGAGTCCACGTGTCTTTACAGTTTTTGACACTTGTTGTCATTATGTGTGTTTAAAGCATCATGTAAATTAAATCTTCTCTTGTAATAAATTGATAGATACTACGTTTTTTTCATTTTTACATAAACTAAAATTAGAGACTAATTAGACTGACAGATTAAAGTCTAGCTGTAAAAAAAGCCAACAGTTTATTCCATTACTAAACAGGAAGAGTTAGATTAGTCAGTTCCTTCAAATGGCAGGAGTGTTTTTTTAGTTTAAGTAAACATTTTAAGATATAACTATTCTGTAAGATCACCAGCCAAAGACAGAGTGAAAAAATGAAGTCTGAACTAATTGTTACTGTGTGTCTAAAATTACCAGACTGCTATGGTTAAGACAATATGTATGTTCTTTTTGTTGTGTTTTAACAGTGATATTGTTGGCTTCACTCATCTGTCCAGCAGCAGCACACCTTACCAAGTGGTAGATCTCTTGAACAAGCTTTATACCACTTTTGATGAAATCATAGATAACTATGATGTCTATAAGGTGGAGACAATAGGAGATGCCTGTAAGTACCTTGAACTGTGGAAACTGCTGGGACATCAAGATGATTGATAACAAGGAAGGGCGGGTGAAGGAGATTTGGAAAACTTATTACCACTGGGAAGACACACAAAACAAGTAGGCAAGAAGTCCTAGCACAGCCCCAGCAAACTTTTGGAACATCTCCATTGCATGTATTTCATCATTTCTGCAGCTGGTGAATGTTGTGGATGGGACATTGGGGTGTGGCAAAAGCCCCTTTTGCTACCTTTATTTGGTCCCTATGACTTTGCAAGGTCTGAATTGAAATCTTGGAAACTGAGTAATCACAATTGGCAATTTTGCTTCATGGGAACAAAACTGAAAAATGTGCCTTCTGCATGGAAACATAAATGCAATTTCCTAAGCTATACTACCTCTGTGGTTTTTTGGTTTTTGTTCTATTTTTCCCCCAAAGACTCTGACAGCCTTCTCTCCCCTTACACTCTATATGGACTTGGCTGCCTCTTCTTTTGGATTTTTAGGAAAAGATTATATTTGCCCTCGTGGAAATTTGCTAGCAACTAACCACTATTAAAGCTGATTTTCATCTAAAACCCAGCAGAATCTAGCAGAAGCTTGGGATAAGACAATCAGGAATTCTTTAGAAGTTGAAAAGTAAGGAAAAAAAAGAAAAAAAAATAAAAAAAAATCCACAAAAACCAACACCCTTTTTTCTGTGGTATGGTGTCTGCAGAGTATGGAATGCTTGAAGAAATGCACCAAGAGGTCCCCTTTTCAGAGATCCTCAAGAGACGGAAGGGGGAGGAAGGAAGTGTAAGAAAACTAAGAATGAAATCCAAAATTTTTTCAATGGATGACTGTATCCGCTTAGTAGACACAGCTGTGCTTCAGTATACAAAGGAATAGGGCTTCTTTTGTGTTACATTGGCACTTTGATAAATGTGTGTATAACGTCACAGGTTAACATAGTTGCATTGTTGTGTTAAGATATGGTAGTGTCTGGAGTACCCAAAGAGAATGGGATCCTTCACGCTGGTGAGATTGCAAGCATGGCTTTAGACCTTGTGAATGTCTGCAAGACTTTTAAGATTCCACACAAGCCCAACACCCTCCTAAAGATAAGAGCGGGAATACATTCAGGTATGTTGGGAGAGCTACAACAGAACTCCTTTCTGGTTTATCAAATGTCTCCTTAGATGTGTTTCCTCTCCAATAAAAATGAAGTAAATTTCCCAACGTGGGAGGGAGCACCTCATAGAGGTCATCTCAGCAGAATAGATCACTGGGTTCATTGGGTACATAGAGATGGCTCCAGTGCTCTCCTTCTCAGTTGTTCTCTCAAAATGGTGTTACTTTTGGGTCTTCCCTCTAGCCTTCATTCTCAGACTCTCATCTGCCTGATCTAAACTGATATGTGACTGCAGCTCCTTCCTGATAGACAGAGTTGGGCATGTGATATGTAGTCCAATGTCTGCAAGTTGAGCAGCTTCTACTGTCTCAGCAAGAGATCAAATTTTACATAAATTCCCTGGGGCTAACATGAAGAAATCAAAACTACTATTTGATGGACATAGTCGTTTTCTGCCTTTAGCAGGATCAAGTTATTTCCTACTCCCAGTTTTCCATATGACTTGAGGGTGTTGTGTGTGTAGCTCCTACTGGGAGGATTCCTATCTCCTTATCCCTAAAAATAGTATTTTATGGTGCTGAAATACAGTTTCTGCAGGTGCTTTAATTCATGCACTGTACCTTTAGCTCATCCTCACTTCCTCCACCATTCTCTTTTGAGGCCTTTTTGCACATTCTTCCATGGTGTCTGGAAGCCATCTGTAAACCAGATATATGACCCATATGAGGCGGTACTGACATTTAGTCCTTATTTATCAATAAATGAGAATAAGGTAATGTAGGAAACGGCTAGCAGGTTTTATGGCTAAATAGATTATTTAAAAACACAAAATACATTTTTTCTCCATTTCTTTAACAGGGGCAGTTGTAGCTGGGGTTGTTGGAACCAAGATGCCACGGTATTGTTTATTTGGAGATACTGTGAACACAGCTTCCAGGATGGAATCTACGAGTGAAGGTAATGAGGAACAAACTGCAGATGCAGTTTTGACCATCCCTTAAGTGTAGTATTGAACAAATGTTATGCTTTGTAACTTTGAGTCCTGTCCTGTTTAAATAACTGCAATTTCTGTAAGAAATATGTTGATTTCTGGATTCATAGCCCATGGGGAAATTTGCCAGCACTATTCCCTAAAACCTTTGTAACAGCATCCCCTCAATTCCTCAAATCTTAAAGGGGCATTTTCATGGCTTTGAAGTTCTCTACAATAGAAAACAGTACACAAGAAACAGACTTTAGAGAAGATCAGAAAAAGGTATGTGGGTATGTTCACTGTTTTGTTTCTTACCTGGAACCCAGCTGAATTTATAGGAAAAATACTTTATGCATTTTTTTACTAGTAACTTTCTTCTAATGGAGAGCACAGGAGATAGCAAGACACCATGGGAGCTGTGTCTGTCTTTAGCCAGTATAGAAGGTTATATATCTCAGCAAAGAGATGAGAGCAAAATCTCTGTAGAATAAACTGTGGAGATAACTTCAATTTCACTTCTTCCCAGGGGATATCAGAGCTCCATGTTTAGTTAACAAGCTTTATATTTAGCCACTATGAGTATCTGAATCTCAGCTTTTGAAATATTTTAGCCTGAACTACAAGAACTGGAAAAAAAAAGAAAAAAAAAAAAAAAAAAGATTCAATACCAGGCATTCTTGATAGCTTGTTTTTGTTTCTTTCATTCATGCAGTGAAGCCAAATAGTTTTATGGCTTACACTGCAATGCCTTCTAAAAGGACTTGAATTAGGCAGAATCCAAGGTTTTTTAAGTTTCAGGATAAAAAATGATCCACTAAAAACAATGCAGGAAAGCAGAGGAGTGGCTCTACTGAAGGGCTTTGGTTTATCCTAGGTATTTGAGAAATCAAGCAGGATCCATTCCTTCTCAGTATTACAAACATTTTTCCAAAACAAATTCTATCCTGAGTTGAACACACGTAACTTTTTCCCCTCCTGTCATTTTTCCAGGTAACTTCTCTCCTATTCCTCCTTTCAGGCTCCCTGTATGATCTGGTGTCATTGCAGTGGTTTTAAAAGTGAGGATTTCAAAATCTGCTTCCATCATTCTTGATACTTTATCTTTTAGTCTGTATGCTTATGTATCTTTCCTATGGCTCATAATCGCATAAAAATGACAGAGTCAAAGATTCTTATCTTTTATAAGTTTCTTTTTCCCCCCTCTTTCTCTGGTCACACACATCTGAGGATCTCAAAATATGTTACCATTTTTAAGCCCCAGATGATCATTGTAAAATAGATGAGCTAATAAACATTACTAGCAATGTAAATTATAATTTCTGTCAGTTGGAATGTGAGTGCTATGTGATTTGTTCCAAACGAGGATAAACTATTAAAGTATTAAATATCTGCTGGAAAGAATGTTTCAGATCTATGTATCTGGGTATACTGAAACATATATTACTAATCTAAATGGAGTATCTTGAGTCTTTCAGCAAAAAACATTTAAACTAAAAGCAACCAACAGAAAAGAAAAAACAAAGTGGAATTATGGTAATGCTATCCCTTCCTCCTGTTTTTATTTACAGGCTTGGAAACAGAGGCAAGGATGAAAGTATCCTTTTTGTTTATACTTTACTGTAAACACTTTGTGTAAAGAAGACACTGACCATGAGGTAGAACTATGCATTCATGTTTTTCTTTACTAGGCAAAAGGGCTCCTTGCCTGTAATTTCAGCCAGGAAGCTATGAAGAGTAGAAAAATAATATCAGATGCAAGATGTGAGGAGTAGTGTTTGCTGACAGCCATTTATTTGTCCTGAGATGCCCTCACAAACAGGCCAGGGTGTTGCAGCATGTGTGTGTGAACACTTCAAATAACAATGGAATGACTGCAAAAACATGAAAAAAGTAAGGGAATGTTCTTTAGTAAGTCTAGAAGTCTTTGGTACACAGAAGATACAGTTCTGTCCTGAGTGGTTAAATCATTATAACAATATGACAATTGTCTCTTTTTCCAGCTCTTAAAATACAGTGCAGTCCAAGTACATACCAGCTGTTGGAGCAGATTGGAGACTATGTGTTAATATGTCGTGGGAATTTACAAGTCAAGGTGTGTATGCAACATTTACACTCAGCTTTTCAGAGAGGAGAATGTGAAAGTCTGGAGTTCTGGAATTTTAACCCATGCAGTCCTCTGTTAAACTCCATGTATTAAACTGTTTCCTGCCCCCTAAGAGAGATACCTCAGGCATTTAATCAGGGTAAGTCTAGTAACTCAGAGAGTGAAGGGCTACACCCAACTTGGAAGTACTACTTGACAAGCAATTCTGACAAAACTTCTTGAAATAAAAGAATTAATTAAGGAACATCATAAATACCAACATTTCTATAACTCAAGTAGTATATTTCTAGTATATATTTATTATATATACTATACTTGTATATATTTATTGTATTGTGATTCTGTGATTCTGTGATTCCATTTCTGAATGTAGCTTTGGAGGGAACTTCAAAGAATTGTTTAATCTATGCTGCTGCCACTAGCACACTGTTTTTTAAGGTGAGATTTTGTGCCTGTCTTCTTATATATAAAATGTGTGACAGACACATCAGTCTCTTTTTGGGGCATAATCTGAGGTGTAATTAAAAGATGATTACACAAATGATGAGTAGTATTAGAACCTCATGTCTCATTTTCTTTCTTAGGGAAAAGGAGACATGATAACTTATTGGCTTGAAGGTAAGAAAATGTGTGCCACTCACAAGACAGCCCCCAACCCATCTGTGACTCTTCAAGATCTGGACAGAACTTCATTTAGTTTGATACCAGGTGTCCTTCAGAGTGATACTGTCTCAAGTCCTGCTTACTAGCCACTCACTGACTCCAATATCCTGCAAGTACTGACAGGTACTGTCTGCTCTCAGTCTGTTAGTTGATTCTTCTGATTCAGAAAGTAAGAAAATAGAATGTCTTTCGGCCTTGTGGATGTTTCTGTCACCACTGTTCCATTAGTGGCACAAAAAGGTACAAAAAAAAATCAGAAACTCATCTTGGGAAGTGAAGTGGAATTGCCAGGTCACAGCCTGAACCAGTACGTGACCATCTGTGTGCCCAGAGTGGGAGAGCCCTGATCCACCCTTCCTTTCTCTCCTCCATGGTGCTTCTGAGTTCATCTGCCAAAAATGGGGGATGTTCAGCTGCCATTTCATAGACTAACATTCCTAATGGCCACCAATCAATTGCCCTGTTGTAAGCCTTGCTGAGAGTTATTTCAGGTGCCAGGTATTCTGGAGAACCACATAACGTCCAAGTTCTTGCTTTTACTCTTTTTGCAAAGCCATAGTCTGTGGCCTGGATGTATCCTTGCTTAAAAGATCTTCAGGCTTTAGATCTCTGTAGATGAAGTCTAATGAATGGAGATAATCAAATATTAGCACCATCTGAGCTGTATGAAACTGTGCGTGTGGTTTACTGAACCTTCTGATTCTTCTCAAATGTGAGAACATTTCACCACCAGGAACATACTCCATTATCATGTATAAATGAGAACTGTCCCTAAAGGAACACTCCAGTTTTACATGGAAGGGAAAGTTCACTGCCTGTAATATTCTTCCATTCAGTGTGTGTTCTATCTGCTTCAGTTTGACGGCCTTCTGTTTGTCCAGTATCTTCATGGCATAATACTCTTCTCTTGCTTTATCCTATTATTTTACTGAGTTAACATGTTTTAAGCTTTTTAAGCCGTATCTAAGGTCTTTTTATCAACTATAAATGTGAAAGTATGTTCTTTATGTCCAATTGTAATAGCACTGTAGTTTTAACTCAGCTTAATCTGCTTTGTGTTGTTTTTAGAATTAAATTTAAAAATCAGTGTGTTTACAGTCTGAAATTTTCTATATATAAACAAATACCGAGTGGCCGTGAGCACCATTGCTTTGACTGCTGTCATTACGGATCTTTGGATAGTATTCAAATTCTGCAGAGATTCCTGTTGACTTCAAGAGGTTTAGAGTCTGTATGGTTACCTGCAAAAGAGGTGCAGCTCGAGGAGAACCAGTGTTAGCCTAACTCTTTTCTCAATCTCTTTATTCTCTCCTTGAAAAAAAGTGTTTCTCCTGTGACTTCAAATAGCAGTGCCCATTAATGGCAATTTGTTCACTGAGATTGAACTGTTCATCTTCCAGAATACAGAAGCAGTGACAGTTATAGATGCAAACTGAATTGTCCTCACTCAATTGGCAAGTATTTAAGATCTACTTCAGGCATTTTGGAAGCTACTGTCATTGACTCTGGATGAATATTAGGAAAAGTTTCTTCTCAGAAGGAGTGGTTAGGCATTGAAAGGGGTTTCCCAGGGAGGTCGTAGATTCATCATCCATGGAGGTGTACAAGAGACGTGCAGATGTGACACTGAGGAACACGGTTTAGTGGGCATGATGGGGATGGGTGATGGTTGGACTTCAGATTCTTAGAGTTCTTTTCCAACCTTAATGATACTATGATTCTATGATTTATTCACTACAGCCATATTTCAGTGCCACCTACCAATAGGCAAATTACAGGGACATGAATGCTAAACAGCTATGCAGATTTTTATCAGACATCACATACAAGCAGTAATCATTAGATGTTGTACTACTATATAGCTTGTTCAGCAAAGGTGGCTGCAAAATAAAGGCTGTGAGATGTGTCTTGCTTTTATCTCCTGGGGATGATATAGCTATACAGACTGATTTATTGTGGACACATATATGTACATGTAGATCTAATAATATATATATATGAATATCTAATGTAACTATATAGATTAAGGAAGACTACAAACATCAAATCTGTCTACTTTAAAATTATCTGTGTAAAGAGAGATTAGTGCAAGTCAAGACCCAGTATAATGTCACAATGTTTTTGACAGCTATATTAGAAGTGTCTCAAGTTTGAAGACTGCAAACATCTCAGGTTTTGATTGCACTGAGATAACAAAGAATGGTTGCCAACATAAACTTCAAATACAAGGACAGGTGGTCTTTACAATATCTGCAAATATAAAGGTTCCCATTCTATTGCTCTGAATCAGCATCCTTGTGTGGGGCTGTACTTGTGACTAAGGCTACTGCAAACTCAGACCTCCAGAGTTCTGCTAAAGCTTCTGGTATTTAGAAATAGAGCGAAGTCTTGCAGCTACTCTGGAAGCTGCTGTCTAAATTCCTAGCAAGCTTGGCAATATGGAAAAATTCTGCTTAGTGACTGCCGTCTGGTCAATGTGAAGTCTGACAGCATGTAATGCTCTTTTATAAGATTTGCAGAGATTGACATCCCAGATGTAGACTCTGTCAGCTAGTCTATCAGGTATTCTTTAAGAATAAGAAAAAGAAAAGGGATTTTGTATACAGATAAATATGTGATTTGTTCCTCCTTTCATGGGAGATTTTATCTTTACTAGAAAATGTGACAGCTGTGGTAAAAGCACTGAAGATCTGAAGGTGATGCGTACTCTTAGATCCTTTCAGTTCTTCATTGAGTTTTTCAGTTACTATAGTGGTGGAAAACAATGCAGTGAATACTGTGTTTGTTATGTGGTGATTTTATGGAAAGATTATGTGTTTCACTATTTACAGTTAATGTGATTATTACTCACTGCAGCTCCAGCTACATGAAGGTGAAGACGCGGGCAGGTTGTTTAAATAAATCACATAACGCAAAAAGTGACTTATGAAAGTTTTTAATTAGATTGATAAACCATCACTATTGTTTTAGTGTGAATTCTGAGGAATAGATAGAATTAGTGTGAATTTTGAGGAATAGATAGAATAACCACAATATTTTTAAAAGTCCCAACAAGTTTAAAAAAAATGGTCAATGTATTTCTAGGTGTAAAACTTCCTAGAATTTTTTTCAAACCATTGACATTGGAAGGAGACTCTTTTGCCACTAAAAGGTTAGACTTTATCCCCAGCAAATATCTTTTATTTAGCTTGCTATTGATATTTACAGATATCTCCAGTTCCATGCTCCTTTTTGAGTAAACAGAAAAGCTGTCTGCTTCTTTCTACAGCTATAAAGTGAAATCAGAATCATCAATTTATTTAAAGAAAATGCAATCAGGCATTCTTTGCAAACAGTATGAGGGCGTAGTATGAATGCTGAGCCTGACTATGGAGTCAGAGGATGTCTGGTGTCTAGATCCTGTCTGAGAAGAGATTGTCACATGGTTCCCCAGGATGCAGAGCAGGCAGGCACCTCTTTCCCACACCACCCAGACTCCCAAATGTTATTAGTGGCCCTTCTACCTGAACTGAACTCTATAGTAAGAGTCTTTGGTTTTTTAAGCCTATCTTTCTGGGGCTGTCTTTTTAGACCAGTAAAAAGACAAGACTGCAAGATTATCCTTGTTGTTCTTCAACTGGCTAACATACCTGCTTTCCAGATAATGACTACTCTGTTCTCCGAATTCCTGTCTGAATTTTCCTCTGCATTACACCAGGCAGCATAAAAGACTGGATTATACATTACTGCATTTTAACATAGAATGCAAAGATAAAATTTTTCAATTCAGTTCTCTCGAAGGAAAATGGGGGAAAATTCCATTTCTTACCAATTTAAAATCTGCTAAAATGCGCTTTCTGATGTACAGATATAAAACAACCAGTTCAAAATGTGAGAGAGTGTGTTTAATAGTGTTTGTTGGTACAGGAACCCTGATGACTGAAACCTTCAGAAGAGCACACATGAATTTGCAAGATGCTGCTTAATGTCCCATAACATTTGCCCCAGTCCTCTGATTTAAAAGTGTACAACGCTGTCCCATCTGTATTTGTATCTCTTCTTCTGCACTGATCCAAGTTTGATGCACATGTGCATCCTTTTTAGGAACTAACTTCTAATGCTGGATTTTTATGTAGCACTAAGGTAGACTTTGAATTTCCACATTAAATTTTTACTTTTTACACCTTTGGGAATTTTGCCTTGAATTTCATTGGCATTAGAGCAGAAAATGTTTAAAAAAAAAAAAAAAAAAAACCTACTGTAGTGGCATCTTTATGAGCATGAGTTGGCACAATTGTAATGATTATCACTGCATTCCACAGTAACATACAGTGATGTGTAAATAAGGGTTTTGATGACATTTGAAGACATTGGCAATCCTGGCAACAGACCTTTTTTTTTTTCTTTTTTTTCCCCTGTAACTCCAATGTTCTGCCTCCAGGCAGGACATTCTTCTTGGTTCCTCCTTGTGGAGCCCCTTCAGGCTAAGCTACCAAAGCAAAGTCTCATACACGCACTAAGCAGTGCACTAAACACACTTCTTATGTGACCAGAACATAACTCAGTAATACAGTACTGTCTACAAAGCCTTTCTGGTCTTTTTCACTTTCATGAATAACTACAGTATCTCTTTTTTACAGGTCTTGCCTTCCTAGCACAAGGTATAGAGTTAGATTTTCAAAGTAATTTCAAAGTATTTTTCACTTCCTAAGAAAAGAAACCGCATGTTGAAATGATACTGTATGTACTGAATCTACCATAACTGACCAAGGGTTCAGAGATTTTCCCAAGGGTCTGGGGAATTGCTTAATGCAAAGAAGGGGGAAATTTGAGTTCGCTGTTAGTGATGGAGCCTGGATTTCACAGAGGCTATGATGAAACAGTCTTGGGACATACAAACCCTCTCTATAGCCTGGTGGAAAAACTCTGTCCTTATAGAATGATAATAATTTTCCTTTGAAAGATTCTCTTATTTTAAAGGACATGAGGAATTTTAAGCTTTTAAGATAGCAGCAATAAGGTTGAAGCTGAAGATTTATGTGATGTGTCTGAAGGACAGAAGGATCCTTTGAGTAGATCTCAAATGAATTTTTACTGCTATGTTTGTGTGTTCTGTTGCCTGCTCTTCAAAACATTTTTTTTTTTTAAATCCATGCACCTATGTTTGATGGAGTGTTTTTAAGCAATAAGAATAAGCCTTTCTGCAGGCATCTGACAGTGGGATAGTGAGGGAAGATCCTTGTAACTGTCCTGAACAGAAAGAAATATATGATTTAAAAACCAGTGATACCTGGATCTTCATGCTTGGTCAAGAAATGTGGAATTTTGCATTCCTCCACTGAGGATAGAAAGGTAGTGTTTAGTGATGAAAGTCTGCTAGAAAGCATTGAAAGTAAATTCTAGGTCTTGTCCTTCTGTTGTTTCTCAACACAAGAGATCACAGAGCCCTCAGCAGCAGACAAGAAACAAACCTACCATGTCCCAGTAGGGATCGCATGTTCAGACTGACTGCAGATTGCAAATGGGCTCTGCAGGGCTGCTTTGTAGCTAGTGCCCCATAGTGTGTGCTAAGACTGTGTCAAGTTGACCTCAAGTCAACTTGTTAAGAAATTCCTCAACGTGTTTAAATACTGTTGCCACCAGCAGTTAATGAAGAAACCTTCCAGGACTGAGAAAACATCTACTTCTCAGAACTGCATTCTCTAGCAATATGGTTCTGCTGGCAGTACGTTGAGATTCCAACTTCTCAGGACAGCTTATGCTCTTCACATGAATAGAACAGTTCCTAAAGGCTCATGAAAGCCAGGCTAGAAATGACTGACAGTCACCCATCTCTAACCCATCTCTGTAGCTCTTCTGGTTTGAACGGTAATTCGCAGAGATGCAAAGTCTCAGGCCTGGGATGCAAGAGCTGGCAATTAAATTGGATGCCTTTTAGATCGGATGCATGACATGGAGTCAGCTTGTGCCACTCTGGTCAAAAGCAGGAGCCCTCCCTGCAAGCAGCCTCAGTATGTATCAGGAGAAGTGCCGGAAAGGGGTCACAGCAGCTGTTACTCTGCTCATCACAGTGGGATAACTGCTCTCTGGAACTGAGCCTGCAGTAAGTGTGGATCAGATGGAGAAAAACATCTGCCTGTGGAGGAACACCATTTCTGCAGAACTCAGATCATGAATGCAATACACATCCCAAGAGTGCTCACCTGCTACTCATTTGGGTCCATTCCAGCAGAACCAGCTATTGCTGTCTGCTTGAGAGGGACAAAGCATGCTGTTTAAACTCTTGATTTTCTGTGCAAGGTTTTGCAGTGACCAGTTTGTAGACTGTAAAAATGCTAGTTATGACAACAGAAAGCTAAGCAAAGCAAGACAAAATTCTTCTGAATACAAGAGAGTTGTGTCATATTGTTTTCTTAAAAGGTGAACTCCACTGCAGTACTATTACAAATTCTAGCCTAAAAATTTGATTTTTATATATCCTAGGAACCTCCTCTGAATGTCCACATCAATATGCCCTGCCACCTGTAACATAGCACCGAGCAGTGTGCGGACACTGACTTCAGCAAGACCAGGCTTTAGCCTCACAGACAGTTCTCCTCCACAAGACCTGCTTTATTGAAGAACAGCACTGAGAAGGAGAATATTAACCCAGAGAAATAATAAAGTAAGGATAAAAAGAAGCTCTTATCTCCAGGCCATGGCTTGGGATCACCCAAAATTGTGGTATCCTGAACAAACTCAGACTCAGGACAAGCAGCAGCTTTCTCTAAAAAGCAATGTAATTCTTGGTGCCTGTTCCAAGATCGGGCTATATGAGTTCCAGCAGCCATCAGAAGAGACCAGATGAGCTAAATGAATATAAAGCCTCAGTAATTCTCTGGCCTGACCAGGCTATCTGCATAAAAAGCCTGAGGCTGCTGTCATGCTGTCTTTGATCAAATAAGCAGTGGATTTTTCGTGGCAAAGTAACAGTGGATGAAAAAAGCTCACTTTATTGAAAAAAAAAGAAAAAAGGAAAAAAAAAATAAACAATTTTTAAAAGGCCAAATTCATATTTTTTAAATTGCCAGACTCATCAATGTCCATTTCATTCCCTGCTTAGCTAGTGAAAGGGAATGGAAAAAAAAAATCATAGAGAAAGAGATGTGAGAGGCAATACAGGTTCTTATAAAAACCCTATAGTGGATTATGATGGACTGGCTGGGACATACTGCCTACAGTCACATTTTGCTGCAAAACCTTAGCTCAGTTAATCTGATGAAGGGAAGACATTGCCTGGAAGTATCTTGTTTTAAATGTACATTTTTATGCCTCTTCCTACACCGTGGGAAAATTTCACTGCCATTAAACTTTTTCTTAACAAAAATACTCTCTAGGTTTTAGAGTAGAGATAGAATAAAGCACATGCCTTAGATCTGCGTATCTCAAGTTATGTATTTACCATTCCATTTGTCACTGGAGTTTGCTGCCTCGCCTTCTTAAAACCCTTATAACTTTTGACAGAGAACATCTAATCCTAGACAAAATGGAAAAACTTGACCTCTTCCTATATATATTTGCAGAACTGTACAAATCTAGGTTCCCAGCAGGCTGGCGCTGCACTGCCTTATGCAAGGCAGAAGATCGCTCACAGCCTGGGCAGAGGCAGCACTCAGGACCCAACAGCCTGCTCTCCCCAGGTGGTCTGACCTCAGGGATGCAGGGCACCCATGGGCACATGCTGAGACCCTCACCTCTGTCCCTTGGGAGCAGAGTGCAATGAAGAACCTTGCTTCTCACCAGGCACTTCGGCAGCAGTTCAGCTGTTGACTCCAGGAGGATATGAAATCAGATTTTCTAGTGCCATCAAAAAGCTGCTTCTGTATATTGCAGAATAAGGTCCCGTGGTGGCTGAGCCTGCAGGAGACCTGTCTGACAATGGCAGAATGCTTTATGTGGACATGAGAGCTGAGCAGTTAAGGTAGAGGTCTGCTCCTGTGGAATTCCTTTACTCATCAGATAACATTTGGATTGTACAGAGTACCAGCGCTGATTTATTCCCACAGTACTGTAACCATCTGTGACGCTTTACTTGACTTGGACTAGCCAGCATTGTTTCTTAATTTCTCCTAATAGCATCCAGATGTCCCACCAACACCTGTCTTCAGCATGAACATCCCTTTTGGTCTGGCAGGAAGAAACCCTTCCCAAACCCAGACCTCTTCAGAGACTGCTAGTCTGTGACAAGGAGACGTATGTTTCCAAGTAAGTAAATGAGAGGATGCTTAAATTGCCTTTCACTTTCCAAACTCTTCCATGGTAAGCAAAGCTGACAAACACCTTCTTTCAGTGGGAAACTCCTTGCCAATTTCTACACAATGTCTCAGAGTGTGACAAGAGAAAGGCTGCTTTTTTTCCTTCCTATATGGATAATTCAGGTGTGTTTTTTTTTTTTGCCTGATGCAAGTTACAGCGGATTGAAAAATGCTGAAATGAGAGCATTGTAAGGTCTTCTATCACAGAGGAACTTTTTGCAGTGGTTATGAATTATAGGAGCCAGGAACCAAGAGCTGCTTGCAAATGACTCCATGCTTTAGTAACCCTTAGACTAGAGGCTCAGCCCTTGGAGTAGCTGTTCAGCATACACATCACACAATATCACGTCTCTGTGATACCTACATGACTGCTAATAAAATTTCATACACTACATGGAATATGCAATCTTCTGTGGGAGAGAAGAGGCAGAATTTGCATTTCTGTGTGTAAACCACGGGTTTTGAATGGTTAATTCTGTTACCTTGTATTTCTCATGCTATGTATCCATACATAGTGAACAAAACCATTTGTCAGCCAAGTCCTCAGATTCCTCCACCCCTGTATGAACTGTGATCATTCATCAGCCATGGCATGGTAGAAAAGGCACATAAAAAATGACATTTTCTGAACAGTCAAATCCAGCACTGAGCAAAACCCATATAAGTCTATTTCCTAAGAGTTACTGAAATATATTTTTAAGATCTCGACTCCACTGACATCTGCTCCTATTCCCTGCAAGAACTGTGCCGTGAACACACTGCAATCCCCTTGTCAAGTATGCCTACAAAACCCAAAAGTGTTAGAAACATTCAAGTGAACTCTATATCAGTGAGTTAAACTTGTACCTTTCATGCAATGGTTAATGGATTATCCTTCCGAAAGCTCCCTTGAGCCTGTGTAGCTCCTGAAGATTTTCAGAAGAGCCCACAGAGTTGGCACATCAGTTTCTTGAAACAGGAAAATAAAATTCTGCCAGGAAGAAGAAGAAGCAAACTGCTTCCATACCTCCCAACATCAGCCAGTGGTTGGAGGGCATGCTGACATCTCTCCATCCCTCCCCACACAAAGCAACACTACTGCTAAGACCTCTTCAAGCCCCCATCCTTCCTACAGACAGATCCAGAATCCTGGTTCAGCTCCTGATCCCTGTTGACCTCCTGCTCTGTATCTGTGGGTCTGTGTACAGTGAGCAGCAGGAAGATGTAAGAAAGGAAAGGGCAGAAAGGAAAACCGAAATGGATTTTTTTTTTTTTTTTTCCAAAATGAAAAATTGAATTCTTTAACCTTTAAACATGCTTATTTACTTACAGAAAGTTATTTCAGGCACAAAAGGTTTGAGTGTCAGTCACATACCAGGTTAAATTGTAATAGTATCAGGATTGTCCATGCAGTGCAGTCAGCTATATTATCCCCTATCAAGAAGTTGTTGTAGTTTTTGTTTTATACATATATATAAAGTATGCACTGTTCACACTATGGTCTCCTGGTCCGAAGCGACTCCAGTAGGGTTTATGTAACAACAGTATTTGTCGTAAGGGTTGTTCTCCTTGTAAGAGCAGACAATGATACTGTCTTTGGGGGCAACAAAAATGTTGTCTTCGACATCTGGGCAAGCAGCGTTGTCCCTGCTGGGAGAAGAGTTCTTCTTCTCTAAGGCACTGTATGTGGAGCCATCTCCCACAAACACATTCCCCGGCATCTCCGGGTAGCAGGTCTCCAGGTACTTCAGCATCTCCTCCTGGTCCACCTTTCTGATGAGGCTTTTGCACTCTGCGGTGGTGGTGGTGGTGGTGGTGCAGACGGACACCAAGTCCTCACCCAGCAACACTCTCCGGTCCCTCTGGTACACCTTCTTGGCCAGTTCATCGCAGCTTCCCTTACCAGATTCCAGGTCTGAAGGAGTTCTCAGCAGCTCCATCACGTCCCGGTCTCTGATCTCTTTACAGCATGGACACTTGTTCTTGGGCCACTTGGTGCAGCCATCAGTCTTTCTGGTGAGGGCGATGGCAGCAATGCCTGGCAGGCAGATGGCTGGCCCGATGGCCAGCAGTGGGATGTCCCCCAGGGTCTCCCCCTTGATGCCGGACACGGTGAACATGAAGCCAAACACCAGGAAGACGCTGACCAGAGCCACCACCAGCCCTGTCCGAGGGTTGATGTCGTCGGGTCTCATAGTACGCGCCATACCGACGGTGTGCGCTGACCGCTGTGGTCTCTCCCCAGCCGTGGGTAAAGCTTCCCGGCGGCGAGGCACCGACGGCCGGCACGGCTCGGTTCCTCCTCGGCTTCCGCGGAGGACGGCGGCGCCGGGAGCCTGCTGCCTGCCTCTTGCCGCCCCCGAGCCGCTCAGCGCCGCGCTCAGCCGGCCACTCGGTTATGGCAAGGCGCAGCCCCCCCGCCAGCAGCCCCGCCGCTCCCTCCCACGTGTGACGGCGGGCACGCGTGGGCCCGGCCCCGCAGCCTGCGCGAGGAGCGGGGGGGCTCAGGGCTTGAGAAAACGCGAGGAGGGGGAAGGAGGACCCTGATTGCAAGGCACACCTGCTCTTCCTTCTCCTTCTCTTCCTCCTCCTTCTCCTCCTCCTCCTCGCAGCCGTGAGTACACGCACCGCCCACAGGGGCCGCCGCCGGGTCCGGGGGTTGGCTTTGGGTCTGGGGGTGATGACGGCCGCCGCGGTTCCGTTGGCAACTGCCGGGAGTGGGGCTGCAGAGCCCTGTCAGATCGCTCCCCCGACGGGCAGTGCGGCCCGGGGCTGGGACTTTGTCCAGCGGACAGATCAGCGCCGAGCCCGGGGAGCACAGCCTTGGGAGACGCTGCAATGCCGCTGGAGTGTGCCCTTATGCAAAGCCTCTCTCTTGGTCCCCCCCTGCACTGTACTCCCCCGGCTTTCGGGAAGTGCCTTGGGGTCCTGTGGTGCTTGCGCTAAGTTGGCTTTACTGAGGCTGCTCAGTGTTGTGGTGCACATGGGCGCTGGTAGCTCACAGCATCGGGCTGAATGCAGGAGGGGATCTGAAACGTTTGGGAACGTGTCAGGAAGGAGGAGCCCCATAAGCAGGATGCTTCAGCACCGATTGCCAGAGGCACCAGAAGTAATGCTTTCACCTGGAGCAGAGGTGCTGGGAGATAAAAAAAAAGTCACAGTCTGAGACTAAGAAAGGACACTCTGAACTCAGTTATCACAATAACTTGACTCCTCTTTGTCATATTACTGTTGAGGCCAGGAATATGGAAAAATCAACAACATAAACACTCATCTTCCAGCCACATAAATGTCTGATTTTTATTTACTATTCCTACTGTATACAAAGAACAAAGTGGCTCTGTACTGTTTTCACACCACCCATGGGTGTCCCCTCCTTAAAGGACACAATTTCTGCCTCACTGGACACTTCCTTCATGAGCTAGGTGACTGGTCATAGCCTTCAATGCCTTAATTTGAAGGGAGGGAGCAGGAAGGAGGCATCCTGGGGACAGCTGTTTGAACTGGTAATGGTGATCCCATTTTGAGATGGAAATTTCACAAAGGACTATTATCATAATTTGAACAAAGCTGCCCTGTAAAGCTCACTTAGAGCTCTGGGCTCAGATGGGCTCAGGGAGAAGCAATTTGGTCTCTTAGAAGCAAATTAAAATCTTCCAGCTGGGTTTCAGCACACGTTAACTTCTGTTACTGAGCAGGATTTAGCAGGGTGAGCAATGATCAGAGCTTTTTGGCTTGCACTTTCTGGAGTGAGAATCTGCTGCTTTTTTTCCATCTGCTGTTATTTAGATACATAGCATTTATGTCCTCACATTAGAATGAATAATGCCTTTCCTACCCCTCTGCTAAACTTGGGTAAAGATTAACCAGATATGGGACTACGAAGCAGTGAAGGCCCAGCAGGATTGTGTTGGTAACACCATGGAACACACTTCTCCCTCTACCCAACCTTTCCTAACCTCCCCTTGCACATTTGCACAGTCCTTAACAGTTCCTTGAAAATTGGTTATGTGCAGAAAAAGAAAACATGCTCTTTAGGAATAGCCCTCATCAGGGTCCATGACAGGGAGGGAAACTGCCTCAGAAGATGACATAGAAATGTAAATGTCATTAGTGGCATCAGCGGAGGAGAAAATATACTGTAAGTACTGCAGTACATGTCAGAAGATCTAACAGGAATAAAAATGGCTCTTCAGATTTAAGTGACAGGGTTACTGAGACGGAAGAGAGAACATCTACTTCGGAAGGGGAAGATGTTAGCAGGCAGAAAAATACTTACAGAAGCTGTCAGGACAAAGGTGGAACCGAGTGCTTCCAATTTGTCCTTTTGGGAATGGTTTCCAGGACCAACAGTGTGAAGATTGCATGCTTCGTGGATAAGGTGGAAATGGTAAACAAACCATGCTGCTTCAGAAAACATGATACAGTTCTCAAAGTTGTCTTTCCAAACCAGAAATCAAGAGGTCATCAAGTTTCCACCTACACAGGTGAGCAGCAATGGTAATGGCTGAATTTTCTCTCTTGTTCAAAACTAGAGAAAGAAAAAGCTGACTTCTGTGAGGTGAAGCACATTTCCTATGGGCTCTTTGTGCAAAAGCTCTGGATCAGCTAGCGTAGTGACTGAAAATTCCAAGTATTGTTTCAGATTAATTAAACAGTTGATGGTGGTGATTAACCATCTTTCAGTGCCAATAACTTTGAGCATTCATTCAGAGCAGAACTGAAGCTGATGTTGGGCACATTAGTGTTCTTACCCTACGTTCTGATTTTTCAGCTTTTTTAGGATGGGTCAAATTGGGATAATCTCTCTGGAAGAGAGAAATGTGGGGTTTGGTGGACACACCCCTCCCCAGGGCAGGCAGAATGCAAGTAGTGGGTATGGGGCACCGTGTTTGTACTTCAAGTCTCAATAAAGTAATTAAACAGTTATTAAAGCTGATGTGTTCCAGGGACACTAATTTCAGCTTGCTCAGCAAGCATTTCCACATCAACTTGTTTAGATTCAAAATCCTTTTCCTGTTCTACATAATAATTTAGTGTATTCACTAAATTATAATTCAGGCAGTGTGCTTCTCATTCTCTCCCTGTTTTCTATTCAAAATAATGGTCAGCATTTGGTAAATATCTGAACATTATGCATATTAATGTTTCTATGCATATTATGCTTCTACAGAGGTCTCACCTCCCCCAGCTCCTCATGGCCATGGTGTGGAAGCTGGAAAACTGCAAATTACAGATGATCAGAGGGCTGGAGCACCTCTCCTATGAGAAAAGTTTGAGGGAATTGGACTTGCTTAGCTTGGAAAAGAGAAAGCTCCAGGGAGATCTCATTGTGGCCTTCCAGTACTTGAAGGGGGCATATAAACAGGAGAGGGAACGGCTGTTCATGAGGGTGGATCATGATAGATTAGATATTAAGATGAAATTTTTCACCCAGAGGGTGGTGATGCACTGGAACAGGTTGTGCAAGGAGGTTGTGGATGCCCCATTCCTGGAGGCATTCAAAGCCATACTGGATGTGGTTCTGGGCAGCCTAGTCTGGTGGTTGGTGACCCTGCATATAGCAGAGGGGTTGGTTAGCCTGAAATGCACAATCTCCTTTTTTATCTTCTTGATCCATCACATGTAAAATACATAAATGTTTTTTTGCCTCCCAAAAGTTTAATGAATAAAACACTGCTGAGCACTTGCTGGGAAGCTGGACTTTTAGCGCACTAAAGACCTGAGGGTTTTCAGCAGCCCTGACTTCATACTGTGCTGTGAGCCTTGATGCAGTCCTGCACACTGATGCAGGTGAAACTCATTCTTCTGAATGCCTGGGCCTTCAGACTGTGACCAACCTCAACTTCTCTAACATCCCAGACATACCACACTGAGCCTCCAGAAGAGCTGTTAGTAACATCACAGGTAAAATGAACCTTCCAAGTTCTGTGGCTCTACTAAAACTTGGCACAACCTGATACCACTTCTGAGCGTGGGATCATGTAAGTCCTAGCTATAACTTGGACATGAAATATATGATTTGCTTTGCTGACAAGTTCTTTGAGGGCTGGGATGCTCAAGTTTCAAGCTGTTGTGTTGATGCTGTTGTGCACATACTTGAGCCACTCCATTAGCTTGAGTATGCTACTGTCATTCAGCTGAGGTCAGTGGCACTTCAGGCCCTTTCAGTCTGTTATCCACAGTAAGTACTCAGTTCTGAAGGTGGATGCCGAATGCCATGTGCACCTCCAAGCCTTCTTGAATGTTGTGTTTTCTCAGCCTCATCAACAAAATACTTGCTAATTTTTCTTTGCTGTGCAGAAGTGTGTTGAGGTCCTTATGTCCATTAATTTATAGCTTGTTTTTTCTTAATTCATGAGTCACACAGTTCCCCATACCAACATACCCTTATTGTATTGCTTAGGGTACCTCTAGTAGAACCTCTCAGCTCTTCCATTCCTCTTGTCCTATTTCAAAGCTGCAGGCAGTTCTCTTTGTCACAGAATGACATGGGTTGGAAGGGACCTTAAATCCCACTCAACTCCAGCACCCAGTAATGGACAGGGTTGCTCCCATCAGATCAGGCAGCCCAGGGCCCCATCCAACTTGGCCTTGAGCACCTCCAGGGATGGGACATCCACACTCTGTCCTCATGTCCTCTGTTACAAGGAGCTCAACTGAGTAAAGATTTACAGAACCTAACTGTTCACTAATGCTTCTGGATCACAGTGTTTACAGGCAATTGTTTGTGTTTGCTAATTGCTGTCCAAATGACTGTAGGTCAGATGTGGTTGGACTCTGCTGGTGAGAGAGTCCTCTCAGGAAGCAAGTGGCAAAAGGCATGTAGCAGATGCTTGAAGGGCTTGTGCTTTTACTGAGTCATCACTCCAGGAACAGGACTCAAAAATCCTGCCCTCGAGTCATTCATCAGTCAAGAGGCAACCTCAGGAACTTCAGTGGGGCTGTTTTGGTAGAAGTATGGGCTATTGTATGACTCACAGTGTCAGGCGGTACATTTTCACCATAGGAGCAATACCCTGCCTACGTAATTCAATGGAAATTATGCTTAGCTGTATAATTCTTCCTGGTACGCTTTTTCCTTTTAACATATTTCTGATTAAATACGCTATGTTTCTTCTGTCTAAAATGTCTCAGACAAAAGATGCAATAGTCTTGCATAGTCAATGACAAGTACTTCATGTTACACATAATGGTGAATAATAGATATCCTGCTTTGTTGCAAAGAATATGGCAAACTCTGTACTTCTTCAGAAGGGTCTCTAATTGAAATCTCTCATCTGTGGAGAGGGAAGGAAAATAGCTCGTCAGGTTGTTTTGACCTAACTCTACAAAAGAAGCTAATGATTTCAGATGTGCTCGAACACTTTTAAAAAGTTTTGAGCATAATCATGTAAAACTAACCACATATTGGAACTCTCAGGATGACTAATTCTCCATGAGAGGCTTACTGGTACCCTTCCTGTCTGCTTAGGGAATGTTAGCAACAAACTAAGGGAGTTTATCAGAAGAGTACCAGCTGTTTATGTTACTTGCAGGCGAAAGCTTTCTCACAACAGCCCAGGTTGCATCGTCTCTGACTGCTTTGTGCCACGTTTCCATCTTTGCCAATAAGTTCTGAAAATTCCAGGCACATGGCGATCAAGGCTAGTGAGCATGGATTCACCAAGGGGAACTTGTGCATGGCCAAGCTTCTACAGTAAAATTATAAGTTGAGATGAATGAGGAAAGAGAGTGGATATTCTCTTCCTAGACTTTGCAAGACCTTTGACTCTGCCTCCCCTAATCTCCTCACAGAGAAGCTGTTGAAGTATGGGCTTGGTGAGTTGACAGGAAGCTACATCCAAAACTGGCTGAATGGCCAGGCCCAAAAGGCAGTGGTCAGTAATGCAAAATCTAGTCGGAGGCCTAGATTTTGAGTAGAGTACCCCAGGATTCAGTACTGGTACCAGTCCTGTTTAATGTTTTCATAAACAATTTACATTTAGTAAATTAGCAGATGACACAAAACTGAAGGTCACTCCAGTACAACAGCGACATGGAGTCATTGAAGACAGACCAATTTAGGGCCATGAAGATGATGAAGAGTCTGGAAGACCTCTCCTATGAGGAAAGGCTGGAACATGAAGAGGGAGGGGCCTCAGGAGGATCTCATCAACATCTCTAGATACCTGAAGGAAGCTGCAAAGAAGATGAAGCCAGACTCGTTTCAGTAGCACCCAGTGCCAGGAAAAGAGGCAAAAAGCACAAACTGAAACACAAAAGGTTCCCTTTCTACCATCAGGAAGTGTGATAAAGCTCAGAGAGTTTGTGGAGTCTTCTCTTTGGAGATCTTCAGAAGACTCTTGGATATAGTCCTGGGCATCCTGCTCTGAGTGTTCCTGTTGAGCAGGGGTTGGGCCAGATGGACCCAGAAGGCTGTCCCAGCCTCATCCATGTTGGGATTCTGTAACATCAGAGAAGATGATGGGTGAGAGTGAGGGTGAGCATGGGTTAGGCAGCTCTGGCTGCTGTGTGCAGGGGCAGCAGATGGAGAAGAAGAGCAAGGAGTGTTTTCCTGGAGAAAGGGGATGCAAGCAGGTCTCTCTGGAGGGGTTGAAATATGTGGGATGCATTAGAAGCTGTCTGTGGGGGGAAGGGTGCAGTGAGACATGAATAGGGCAGCTGTGTCCCCAAATAACATGAAATGTGTGTTTTCAGGAGGCATTCTGTCTGATCCTCATCACACACTTCTCCGCTCTGCTGGAAAGGAAAATGCCTGAACCTTAGCATGTCTCTTGTCTGCCTTGATTTGTTTGAAGACCAGAACTGGCCTGTGAAGGGGCCGTCATTGCCTCAGTGGTGGCTAGCTGTATGCTGGGCTGGCCTTAGTGCCATACCAACTAATGGGGCAGGTGTGGGTCACCTGCTGCAGAACACATTCTGCCTATCCCTAAAGCTGATCCTGCAGTATCCATTAAACAAGCCCTTCCAGGTGGTGAGGTGATGGTGGCTGTGAGCCACCCCCCAGCACTGTTCAGTGTTGGGGAGCAGGTTTTAGAAGCAGAGAGATTTGTGCACAGTGCTGGGTGTGCAGCTGTGCAAAAGCTTTAGAAATAGGGTACAATATATATTTACTTGGTGATGTGAAGCCACAGTAGGTGAGGGATGGGGGTGGAGGAGGCCTTTGTTACACACCTTTTATTATAATATACATTATTATTATTTTTTTTCAGAGCATTCAGTGGAGGAGGCAGTGTTAAAGTTTACACTGTGTTAAGGCTGAAGCGATTGCAAGGCTCAGAGCTGGTAAAAACCTTCCTAGTATCAAAGGATATCAAATGGCTGCTGATTATAAGCGTGGGTGTAAATACATGGCAAACTCACTCCCTTTCCGCAGAACAGACCAGTCTCTTAAGGCATCGGGAAGGATGCTGTACAAACAGCTACATATGTTGCAGAGGAGGAGTGGAGCAGGGAAAGGTCCCCATCCCGCTCAAGGAGCGAGGACTTGGTGCAGTGGGACAGCAGATCCCCTGCACAGGAGCTGGTGTCCTACTGAACAGGCTGCTGCAGCTGCTGTGAAATAACCTGCCTAGAAAGACTCCCTGGCCTGGGACCCCCAGCCCACCCCTGCATGGAGAGTGGATGCAGGTCAGTGCAGGACCCCTTTGCGCTGCTCTCATGGTCTCTGAAAAGGAGCAGCCAGCCACCGGTGTGCCCTGAGAAGCACCTTCTGCCTTGATGGGAAGCTGCAATGTGGCAAGATGAGTAATTAATTAGCCTCATGCTGCCACGGGCATTTCCAGTCCCAGCTGACAACAGACTAATTAAGAACCTCCCTGTGGTGTCTATTTTAGATAACCATTTACTTTGGTACAAATTAACAAAGGCTTCTCTAATGGTTTGTTTCACAGGCGACACATTGGATTAATTTATGGGACAAATAGCAGGAACCTGAACTGACATTTCAAGTTCCCAGCCACCAAAAGCCCAGACAGTTTTGCTGAATACTGCTCTAATTTTATCAGGGCAAAACACTTGCTTCCTTTTAATTCTGTGTGTCATGCCATTTGTTCTTAGACATTACCTTTGCCTCCAGAGGCTTTGGAAGCTGAAGGTGACCTTGCAAGTACTGGTGGTGCTTGGGGACAGGCTAATGGCTCGGCTGCCTCATGTGTGCGGAGGCTCCATCCAGCTTAGAGTGATGGAGAACCCTGGTATCAGGCTTGGCAGGGCCAGCATCGCAGTGAAGGCTGAGAACCAAACCGTGTGCTGCCTCTGCAAGTCCTCTACTCAGAGCCACCTGCCCAAAGGTGTCCAGATCACCTTTCTTCATTGACAACAGCAAGCATTTTCATGCTTTTCTACCGATACTCAATTCTCACATATATTAATTCACAGGAAATGAAAATGTTAGTGGGATTTTCAGCTGATGTGTCTCAACACCTAACGGTGTCCACTTATTGTTTCACTCTCCCCCAGCAGCTCCACACCAGCAGAAACTGGAACATTGCCCTGTG